TTGGCAAGGAATCAGTGGTACTTTTGTGTTTTTGAAATCCACACTTGGATTCTGGTAGCATAAAATCTGCTACAAATATAAGCAGAGGAGGACATGGGTAAAAATACTTTATAAACAATAGCCAATAGCAGGATGTCATGGTAGTTGTTCAGTCTACTTGGCTTCCTTTCTTTTTCAATTTCATTACAATTATTGGATCTTTCAGAGATTAAGGAACCATCTTCCCTAAATATCTCAGTTGGAGTCTCCTTGCTATTAAGTTTTAGGTAAATCTAAAAATCTTGCCAAAGATGCTGTTCAGTCTAGGAGACTTGTTCTTTAGGTTCTTGCATGTCAGATAAACTTTAAAAATGTTGTCCTGTTGTTGTGGTGTACAATATGAGGCAGAGTTGGTAGACAGTTTACAAAATTAGTGATCTCTTGAATTGTGTAAACTCCATTGATCTTAAGACATTCCATCCAGCAATTTAAAATGGCTTGCTGATATTTATCAATTGTGTCTCATCTGCAAAGTTCAGTGGAACAAATGAGCAAAGTAAGTTTGGATGCATAGATGTTAATGAACATCTGATTCCTCCAGCATTGTAGCTGTGATTTGAGCAAGTGTCACTTTTTTATATAACTGCAGACAGTATTTAACCAGACACATTTGGTTATGATCATTAAGAACACATTGTTGATCACTATGCTGTCTCTGGTGAGATTAATGGTGATATTAGCCATTTCCTTATACAGTAATATTTCCTTATATTTGACATTCATTGACTGAATAGTTGAAATTTATAAAATCTTTCACTTAAAACAGGTTTTCAGGAAGATAGTTTTCTCAAGCTCACTAGCCGTTATCACTCTTTCTAATATTGATAGGAGTTTCCTTTCTAACCTTTCATTTAAGGTTGTATGTTATATCTTGATTATATCACTCTTTTCCCTTCAAGTTATATGTGCCCTCCATTTTAGTTTTAGCTGCTTTTATTAGATCCATAAAAGAAGGCATATTAAAATGTCATTCATAACAAAGAAGAAACTATTCATAAAAAAAGGGTAGAATAGGAAAATTGTGAAAATGGCCTACCTCGGAAACGCCTGCGAATCTGTGCGATGTGCAAACCCCAGTTTGCTAGCGGTAAAAGGAACCAAAATGGCGGCGCCCATGTTTTATGCCAGGCGGTCTTGGTTAGTTAACGCGAAATCTCGTTGTCTCGTCATTCGCATGCAAATCGTGGTCGGTCCTCAGCTGTATAAAGCAGGCGCGTTTTTTTGTTTCGGATCAGAGTGCTTTTGGCTTGTGAGAAGGTTGGACATGTGACACCGGTTTTGTCGGTTACCCTCCTCGCGGGCTTTTGTTCCTACCTGCTATTATCAGTTGAGTTGTTGTCTTACCTCCACAAGCTATTTCGGCAATGGACAAGTTCGATCTAGAATTGATCCCAGAATTCGACGGCTCCCCAACGGGCCCAACTGTCGTCAAATGGTTTGAAAAGGCCGAACGTGTTTGCAGGATGTCCAAAATAAAAGAACCTGCACTGGTCATCCCACCGAGACTCACGTGGGGAGCTATGCCGTATATCAACAACTCGGGGACAATGCTGACCTAGAAGAGATCAAGGGTGCCCTATATACGGACTTTGGAATAGACCCCTTCATCGCTTGGAAACAGTTCGTCGGATGATGGCTCGAGCCGGGTGAGACTGTGGATGTCTACCTGGCCGATTTGCGAAGGCTGGCAGTACCGTTTGGCGGAGAAACGGACCGCATACTGGGATGCGCCTTCCTGGCAGGACTTCCCGACAACACCAGTCGGCTCCTGCAAGCGTCTTCAAGATTGGACACACTGGGAATTGACGAATTGCTAGCCAGTGCCCGAAACATCTTGAAAGACACGGAACAGGTCGTGGCAGCCGTGAGAACGCCTGAGACACCGCAGGAGGGCCCAAAGTGCTACAAGTGCAGTGGACCCAACCATTTCTCTAGAGACTGCCGGAGCTGAAGTGACGTAGGAGGTGGGAGCATCCGACGGACACTAGCATGACTACGCTGCTATCGCTGCAAAGCGTTAGGCCATGTAGCACAGGATTGCTCGGGAAATGAGTCCGGGGACAAGGTGCTGTCGCAACCCTTGCCTACTCTCGGTCAGTAAATGCGGCATTGCCTGAGTAAACGATGTTCGGCGCTCGTTGACACTGGATGTTCCCGATCGATCGTTAGTGCGGATCAATGCGTGACATGGAGCAGTCAACAAATCGAGATTCAGATGATTGACGGAGTGTCCCAGGCCTGTTGTGGTATTAGGACTGTATCAATCCTCACAGACGGAGGGAATCATGCCAAGGTCGACGTTTTGGTGGCACGTCAAAGGCCCCTCAGTTACGACCTGCTACTTGGGATTGATGTGATCCAAGTGTTAGGAGGCATGATAATCACGCCAGCCAGAAATGTGGAACTGGGTAAAGGAAGAAAGGTGTGTGCAGCCCTTTGCATTAGTGGGCCGGATTTCGACGTCTCTTTCAATTCTGACGAGAAGGTGTGGATCGCCAGGTGGAAATGGGCCCAAAAAGACCCACTAGTTCAGCTTCACAATAAGGTCGCAGAGTACAAAGTTCCCGACAGCATCAGAGGAAAATACGAGAAAGAGCTTCAACAGTGGATTGTGAACGGCTGGTTGATTCCGTACCCCCAGGAAAGACTGGGACCCCCAAAGGGTCTGATTCCCTTGATGGCAGTCATGCAGGAGCAGAAACAGAAGGTGCGTCCGGTACTCGATTACTGCGAATTGAACGACTTTGTGGATGCTTTTACTGCCGATGCAGAAGTGTGCGCACATAAGTTGAGAATGTGGCGGCGGCAGGGGGTCAATGTGTCACTTCTGGATCTGCGGAAAGCATATCTTCAAATTCACATCGACGAAGCGCTGTGGCCATTTCAAACGGTTATTTTCAAAGGCCAACGCTTCTGTCTTATGCGGCTAGGATTTGGGCTAAATGTAGCGCCACTCATTATGAAATCCCTCTCTTTCTAATATTGATAGGAGTTTCCTTTCTAACCTTTCATTTAAGGTTGTATGTTATATCTTGATTATATCATTCTTTTCCCTTCAAGTTATATGTGCCCTCCATTTTAGTTTTAGCTGCTTTTATTAGATCCATAAAAGAAGGCATATTAAAATGTCATTCATAACAAAGAAGAAACTATTCATAAAAAAAGGGTAGAATAGGTCAAATGTTTGAGGCAAAAAATCAACCAACACACACCAGACAATATTCACAAGGAGAAGGTGGACAATTTACATATGTCCGTTAATGTATTGGATTTGGAAATAATTGAACATCAGCAGTGACCTAGGTCTTATAGCCTGGACATGTTCTCAGTGCTGATTAAGACTAATACCGATTATCAATTGAAGATTTTGAAATTTGTATTATGTCCTGAATGGTTGGTGAGCTTAAACCATTTTCATGTTAAATTTTTTGTTTGCATATAACATTAGTCTGCAGTTGTATATTTTTTAGTTGCTGTTTAATTTTTGTCCTTGCTTTTTGATCTGATGATTGAGAACTGATAAAATGTTTAGCTGTTTTTAATGATGATATTTTGATATCACCAATTTACAGTAATATATTTTTTACCACTCATTTTTGTTATGAATTGTTTCTTTTTTGTTCTGAATAGCTACTTTTGAAAGTCTTCAAAAGATCTGGTTTCTGTTATTTGGTAAAATTCTTTGTTTGTGATTCTGTAGTGTCAGTCTATGAGATGTGATAAAAATGGTTCTCTCTAAAACATACAAGGTTCATTTGCTTGAAGCAATTTTTAATAATTGATCTAAGAAAACAGTTGTATACAGCTGACAGTTTAGATATTTCTGAGCAAGTATGATGCCATGCATGACATCCACATGAGTCTATATCTGATGAAGCTATTTAAGAACATGATTCAAGTTCTTAGGTTAATGTTTTGGCTTTTTATCATCTTGCAGTGTTGAACAGAACTCCTAGCACAGCATATTTTATGTTTACTTTCCTTATATCCTATATTAAATTTATTATAACTGATCTATACACTGAAGTACTTGAAATGTTTAGTATTTACTGCACATTCAGAATTTTTTTTTTTATTGATCCAGGGTATATGCTATCATCGCTTTCATTCTAGATCATAGCTTTTGTTTTGAAAAGATTTTTGAATTCTACTTAGAGAATTTAGTAGAGAATGTTGATTTTCTTTGTGCAAGATCATTCTTATCCCACATATGAATACTTATGTCATTATTATAACACCTGTCTGGAAAGGAAAATAGGAATGTTATGGTGGGCAGTAATACCTTCCATTGGGTATGTCTGATACACTTGTGACACAAAGGATATCAAATGTCCTCACTATTTCAGAAATGGATTGTCCCATGTGTCTGTTACCCACTTTCATGCCCTGTTCAAATTAATAGTTCACATTGCCATGCCATGAACAACCTAGCTGGTGTTCACATTAACTCACTATATGTCATCATGAGTTCCATAATAGACACCACATGTACTGCAGTCACAGCAGCAGTGGTGTTTCCTGGGCAAGATAGCCTGACAGAGCCCAAACCTCTCCAGGCTGGTTTGAATTTAGTTTCTTCTAGACTAGTTGCCAACCAAGGCTATAAGACTCAGTCTGTCTTGCTATTTACCCATAGATGGGTGGAGAAGTGATGGATTCATACCTTTCCCAAGAGTATTAGAATGTAAGTGAATATAATGAACTAGACTGGAATTTGAATTTGGCCCTTCGATTCCTGAATTTGAGCTGATATCATTATTCCACCATGCATTCAATGAGGCACAGTGGGTGGAGTTTTTATAGGACAACTGATATAGGTCTAGGCATTTCCATGATGTCAAGGAACTGTTATCTTTACCTACTGCTACCTAATGACTTTTGGCATGTTGGAATATATTATTATTCTTTAAAATCTTGTACATACCTGTGAATCATTTTATTCATATTTCTTTCTTTTTCAGTTCTCCACACCTTACAAGTCCGGTTTATTGATAAGAATATATTCTATACTTATTGTGGCAAGTATTGGTTTTCTTCCTTCATTAATTTTTTTTTTTTAATTTAATTTTAATTTATTTTTGTATGATATAATAAGCAATTATTGAAAATTAAAAATTCTCTTTTATTTTATTTATATCCAGATTTTGCAAAGTTTTTTTAAGTTGGTTAAATTCTTTTCAAAGATAGCATTTTTAAAATCTTTAAGCAACAATTAATTGAATTCAAGATAATCATTTGCTTATTGGTAGAAAGAATAAAGCTGTCCGAAATATCTCACTCACCTGATTTATGTAAAGATGAAATTGAAAATTTCATTTCAAAACAAGATATTTTCAATAAAGCAGTCAATTGAACTCTTCTATTCTTATGGTGTTGATCTTTTATGGTAATTTTTCGTGAGCCAGATTTTATCTTTTACTGTATTCATTAGAAATTTAATTTTATTTAATTTTTTGTATCTCAATTTTTCTCTTTCATTTAGCCTTTTCTTCTTTGGATTCAGATGACCGTTAAATTACCAAAAAAGGCTACATTTGTGGAAGATCACATAATTCACACAAACAAGTATATGTGCTACTTTGGATTTTAAAAAGTGTCACTTGTTACTGATAAGGGATTTTATTAATGAATAACTCATTTCAAACTTCTCTTAATTTCCAGAAAATGTGTTAAGTCTTTTCTGTACATAAGATAAATGTGGCATCCTTGATGTTTGTTCTTTCTAATTAGGAAAATGTTTTCACTTTCAACCACCTCTAAAAAAAAAACTTTGCTTAATATTTGAGATGTAATGATATCAGTATCAGCAGATATCTTGTTAAATGAAATATCTGAGCTGTCACAAAAATTGTTTCTGGCATTTATTTTCCTGATGATTATCAGCTAAGTGAAGTACAAGTAACATGGCAAGCAGCCCTGACAAAGGTTGTCACTGAATGAAGATAAATTACTTTTTTAAACAAAAATGACAAGATGTTCTCTATAAGACATTGGTTGTGAGCAGAAGATCACCTCGCAACAATGCAAAAGGGAAGATGCCCATTAGAATTTTCACCTCCTCCATGTCTGCTTTGCTCATCTATAGCAATAGGTTACAATCAAAATAAAATTTGCTTACTGCTACAAAAAGTCTCATAGTTTTATTTTGTGGGTAACAATCTGGCCAAAGAGTTATTTTTAAGCCACAATTGTTTGACAGAAAGAAGCTGCATCCTGAGCATGAACCTGCTGTCTGGTCTGAGCTGCAATGCTACAGGATTTCTAGGATGCCAAAAATTTTTACTTGAAAGTATGTTCTTGGGAATTTGCTTTTTCAAATCTCTCATAAAATTTGCATAAACAACTTAAAATTCCTATCAAATTAAGATCTCTTGATTTTTAGTACTAAATCATACTGGTTACGTTAAGTCTGGATTCAAATTCCAGTGGTGCCTTGTTTTGATCATTTTATTCCTTAAACTTGAGTTTTCTTTTTATATTTTGACTTTAAGCTTTTTTTCTTTTTAATTTTTAAATGGTTGGATAAACTCAACAAAGTTGAGAAGTCTGTTAGTATTAATATCTGTTGATAATTTGTGTGAAATTCATAAATCTTTTTCTTAAATTCTAGGAATTGTTCTGGTGGCTATTAATCCATACCAAGATGTGGATATATATGATGAAACCACCCTAGAGATCTACCGTTACCAGAAGATCTTGAAAAACTTGGATCCTCATATTTATGCAGTAGCTGCTGAGGCTTTCAATCAAATGACCAGGTCAGTTGATGGAAGTTACTGAAATTTGACAGTTGTATCTGTTTTAATTAACTTTACATGCTGAATATTTTTTTTTTGTAAATAATTTAATAATTTCTCAGGTGAGATCTTAGATAAATAATGTTTATTGTAGAATTGAATGATTAATTTCTCTTAATTTGCATTATTTTGAACACTTCAAGAATACAGTGGTTAAGAATATGTATGTATGTTATGATGTTTCAACTGTTGTGCCCTTCGACCTTCATCATGTGCGTCAATCTGGGTAACCTTCAGAGAATTTCAGACTGAGCCCTTTATTTAATCAGTGTGCACTTTTACTTGGTGGAATTGGGGCAAACAATAATAAATATTAATAAATGTTATTGCTTACCCTGAGTCCAAGTACACATTACCCAGCTTGGGGACTGAACTCCCTATATTACCAAATTCATGTACTAATGCTTTAATCTACTAGGTACTGACAATTCTGAGTGCAGAACTTGAAAACTTAAACTTATCCTGCCTGTTGTTGAGTGCTACTGCTATTTGTCATACTTGACTGCACACACAGACCTCACTTTTTACTGTTGCTACTATTGAAGCCTTTTTGTCACTTCTTAACTTCTTTTTTCATGGCCTCCCATATCATATTTATTTCTATGCTAGGCCTACTCAGGAGGTCTCCATAGCCTAGCATAAGCTTGGTTCTTTCAAACATCTGACTCTCCAGTGTTCTTTTCTGTCCAGTATTTTTACTTCATTCCACAGTAATTATTAACTACATTTTTCTCTCCATACATGATCAGCCATTCCTGATATCATTGTCTTGTCCCTAATTATGGCTTCTTTTTGGCTTTCCTCCAAAAAGTAAAGCTGGAGGAACAAATAAGAATGAGATTCTTACACATAGTGGACTGAGAATTACCTAAAGGTTATCTGGAATAATAATCACCTGATGAAGGCTGAAGGTCACAATGGCTGAAATGTTGTGATAGCAATAACAACAAAGATGTGGATTAATAGTCTGTTTAAAATAATGTCTGTAAAATAATTGTTTGCTCAATATTTTTCAGGAAATTTAATGATGATCATAACATATCCTGTTCATTCTCAATGGGGTTTAAATCTACTGAGGTTGGGATTACCTAGGAGATAGCTGAGTGTTGAATGAGTTCATGTCACTTACATATAATTTTTTTTACTTTGTTGGAACAAATGGCATGAAAAAATTTTTAACAAAAAGCAGTCTTTCTTTTCTATTTTTTTTTTTCCGAGTTCACCCCAATTAAGGCAGTAAAGCCGCTAAGATACAATGGGGTTACTGGGTGTAGAAGAATTAGAAGCAGAAACATTACTAATGAGTGAGAACAAAAAGTGTAATCTGGAGGACAGTAGATAGCAATTGACAGTACATTTAAATTTTTGAAGATTGAAGTTGGCTGGAAAGCATATAGCCAGAAGGGAGTTCCACAAGCAAGAAAGGTGAGAAAAGAAACTGTTAGCATAGAACTTATGGTTGCATCTATCCATCTCAACTATAAATTGGTGACACCAATCTAGTGTTGTGCTTAAATCAAAAAAGTCTAGGCACCATAATGAAGAGCTCATCCAAACAATTACCATAAAGGTATTTATAGAAAAGACAAAGGGATGGTGGTAGTGGGAAAATGACTGAAGCTAAGATGCCAGTTCAGGACCAATAATATTACTGATTTTTCTTTGAATTTTATCAAGAACTCTAGATAAATAGCAGGGCATTGGACCATATGTGGCAGCAATATTCTAAGCATGGGCAAATGGTAGTCATAGTCTGCAATTGTGTCCAGGGTTTGCAGCCAACCTAGAAATCTATGAAATTATCAGGTAACTGAAAAATAGTCAATATTTTAAGAAAGATCAAGAAATTTGAGGGGTAATTTTGGTTTAATGTCAGGGAAATTGGGATTTTCTAATGCAACTTGGCATGCATTGAATAATATGCTTTTTTAGCTTGAAAACTGAAAAAATGGAAAGCATTACTCAAATATTATGAAAGAAAATGAGTTGTCAGTGACTGCTGACAAAGCTAAAGCATAATTTTCATAGCTGTGTTTCACAGTTTCTGATGAATGGTTAGAATTATTCAATGGGTTTGATTGGAACAAGGATCATTTGGAAGTATTTTGTTACAACATTATTGGTTGAAAGAGAGAATTTCTGGAATTACCAACTGATCTTGATTATTTTGCATGGAAATGCCAATGTTGAAAGTCTCTTTTCTTGAGATATGTTTGTAGGAAACTTAAAAACAATATCTCTTATAGTTCAGCAACTTGAATATCGATATTACAAGTCAAATATTGATAAATTCCAACTGATCTCCTTTTTATCAAGAATGTTTAAAACTTGACCAGGAAAAAGTATCAGCTGAAGAACTGAGGATAAAAGAAAGAAAAAGGACAGCTGAACAAATTAAAACTCTGGAAATGTTTAAAGTTGAAAGAAAGCATCAAAAAAGAAGTAACAATAATGATGACATTACAGAATTTACAAAGTCAAGAAAGTAATAAATTTGACAACCACATTTTGTAGTTGGAAATATCATTTATCTGACTAGGTAACATGGTACCCCTGTTGGTTGTTGAGCAGAAAACTCTACTAGAATATAAAGGGTGCGATGGATAAATTGTCGTCTAAATTATGCAAAAATGAAAATAACGCTAACAACTCATTTTAACAGATATATTTACCAAGATTACACAAAAATATCTTGAAGTACTAAAGAGTAAATTTATTCAATAAAATCACCATTGGCTTCAACCATGGCCTCCTGCAACTCTTCTGAATGGTCTCTTTGTTTAAGTTGGTGAATGCTGCCATAATCCTTGTCTTCAGTTCATATTTGGTGTTACAAGGAATTTTGTTGGTTTCTCTCACTCAACTGTGACCCACACATAATAATCAAGGGGGTTGCAGTCTGAGGAGTTAAGTGGTCAGATGTAAGGAGTGATGTGGTCGCAGAAATTGTCTGACAGCCATAACTGGTTTCTCCTGCTTGTGTAGCATGGTGCAGAGTCCTGTGGCCAGACATAGGGTCTTCCAGCAGCTACCCTCTTGACCCATGGCAGCACTACCTCCACAAGGCACTTGATGTAGGCCACCATGTTGAGTTACCAACAAATTTGGGAGTTCTTATCAGAACAATCAGAGTGAGTTTTCTGAGCTGCTCTACCTTTGTAATCACCATTAGAATCATCCAACTCTTTTCAAATCCACTGCACTGTCCTCACATAGACACCCAAACACTCTGAAATGTTCGTATTGGAGCTTCTAGCACAAAGGCCAAGCAGTACCATATGCAGTTTCCAAATTTATGGCAAAGTGAATTGTGACATGGTGCTCTTTTTCTCACAGACTGTACTCAACTCTGCAGTCGACAAAATCAAAAACAAGCAATGTGCATGCTCAAAATTAAAAATATGAAATAGCAACAATTTACCCATTGCACCCTCTATATGCTGCAGATTAACTGATGGGTTAGGCAGCATTGAATTGACAGGTGGTTTGATAAAATGTTCTCTTTTGTTGGCTGTTTATAGTTCTTATTATTGGTAATACTGTTATTGTAATACCTCTATGTGCCTGTAGGTATCATGTGCCATGGATGTCTGTTCAGAATTCATATATTCTTGGCATACCTTTGCTACTGTTAGCAAGAAAAACTAAGAACAAGTGCCACCTCAGAAATAGTGCACAATCTTTTTTGGCCCTCAACAGTTATCCTGTCTTATCCATGTCCCATAGCTTCTGCAGCTACATTACATTTTTATTATATCATTTAGTTGCATTTCTACAAATGGGGGCAGGCAAATCCATGCCTTGTTCTGCTGTGTCTAATTCTTTACTTTTTTTCTTTTTCTTTTTTTTTTCACTATATATTGTTGATTTCATTAATACTTTAGATGATAATTTGATGCAATCTCATTCATCATTCTAAAGCTTTGTACCTAATTTTACAATAAATTATGACATTTAATAAATAATGGCAGCATTCAACTTGCAGATCATCTTTTGAAAAAGTAGCTAACAGATCATTCTGTGATAAATTTTCTTCATATACATTAAACCATTTTATCTTCTGAATGTATAATTTTAAAATTATATCTATAGATTCAAGCGGAACCAGTCCATTATTGTGAGTGGAGAATCTGGTGCTGGGAAAACTGTCTCGGCTAAGCACACCATGCATTATTTTGCCCAGGTGGGTGGTTCCACCGAAACAGCCATTCATGACAAAGTGTTAGCATCCAATCCAATCATGGAGGTAAGTTGTTTAGTTGAAAACTTGTTTAACTTTTAAAATCATAGATGTACAGTAGAAAAATCCTTTTGTTTGAAGATTTAGAAGTCTCAGAAAGATTATCTCCTATTTTATTAATCATTTTAAATTGGTTATATTAAGAAATGTCTGATTTCACATGTGTTGGTTATTGTTTGATATTTAAATGCACTTAAAATAAGGAAATATGTACTGGCAATTTATTTTTTTATTTCTTTGCGGTAGAGCATTAGTCTTGTAAATACTGTTTCATAACCTCTCCTCACCCCACAGTCAAAGTTAATACTTAATGGAACAATTTATAGAAAATCATGTTTGTAACTTTGACTTCCTCATATATTTATATCTTGTATCTGTTTGCAATTAGCCTTTGTAATGCATTTCACACACACACGTGTGTGTGTGTGTGTGTATATATATATATATATATATATAGTGTGTGTATTAAAAATATTTTTACAAACTTTGAGCTCAGCTTGTTTTTTGACACCAAAACAAGGACAAAAGTCCATATAAACATATATTCGGAAATACATAGTTGTACCTCAGCGCAACAACTCATAACAAATATTCTCCACTAACTTCTACACATGCATGCATCTGCTGGATCATTGACTGGCAAACTCTTTCAAATACTCCCAAATGGTGTTGAATGGTTTTGCAGGCCCATAACAGATTGATGAAGTGTCTTTGCATTATTAATGTCTGCTGTATGAACCAATTGTTTTAGGTGACCCCACAGATAAAAATCCAAATGATTGAGCTTGGAGGAATGTGCAGGCCATGGAACTGGTCCTCCCCTACCTATTCATCTTTCATGGTAGATTTCAGCCAGTGCAGAGCAAAAATATAACTAAAATGTGCTTGAGCCCCGTCATGCATGAACCACATGCATTTTAGCAGAGGTACATTTTTCTAGCAGATCAGAAAATGTGTTCAAAATAAAGTCCTTGTAGATACTTCCTATAAGACGTGCTGGGAGAATATATGAACCTACCAAACAGCCACCTACAATTCCACCCCACACATTAATTGTAATCTGATCCTGGTGTCTGGCCTGTAGTGTACCATGGGGATTCCAGTTCGCCCACAAATTTGGTTGCGTAAATTTGTTATTCCATCTCTTCCAAATGTTACCTCATCTATAAACAAGACTTGAAGATACAAAGATCGGCTTGGCAGTTTGTGCAATAAACCATCAGCAAAAATTCTCCCATGGTAAGTGATCAGAAGGAAACAGTACCTGCACATGTTGCAAATGATACAGATACATGTGGTAATATGAGAATTACAACATGCTAGGGCCACTTGATGGGTGCTGATACTTAGATCATCTCTGACAACTTGTAGAATGTATTCTTCATTGTCAGGCATACTAGTAAATCTCGGTCTTCCTTGATCCATAGTTTGTGGTGCCATGGATTCTGTTTCAGCTAATGTGACAATAAACAGCAGTAAAGGTCAGATGACTCAGTTGACTTGAGTCTAAAAAAACAATCTGATACAGCCATGCAGTCTCCTGTCCATTACCAGTCGTACGATTGTATGTAAAAATCAGATCTGCCTGCTCATGATATGAATATCCTGCCATCGTTAAATGGAACACTTCTTTAACTTGCTACTACACATGTTAAACGTTGAAGATGGACTAGTCACAAATGTACATGAATGACAAATGTAACCTAGTCTAATGGTAACACAGCACAATCTGCCATAAACTTTCTTTAAATTTAATAGCTTAAAAAAGGAGGATTTGTGGGCATATGTTTATATGTACTTTTTTCCTTGTTTTGGGGGATGAGAAATCCAGCCCTAAAGTTTGTAAAAGCATTTTTGATACACCCTCTCTCTCATATATATATATATATATATATATATAGTTTATGGAAAACTAGGTAATCCGTATGGGTAGACCCAAGGAGGATAAAATCCAAAGAGCTCAATGTAAATCCAGAGCAAATAATTTAAATAAAAACAGACCACTTTAAGGTTCCATGTAATAAATTATTTCACCACAGCCCTAGGACTGTGGTGAAATAATTTATTACATGGAACCTTAAAGTGGTCTGTTTTTATTTAATATATATGATATGTGTGTGAGATAATTTTGTTTAAATGTTATTTTAATTAAACAGTATTTTTTTATCCAACTGCATCTACCGGCCTGAATATTTGAGAAATCTTAGAAAAATATTTGTCCTTTGGCAGGATTCAAACCTGCATCCCCTATGGGGAACCGTCATTGGATCTGATGTGCCTGACTGCTTTCCCACAATTTATTTATTTTTAGGAAATGGATTAAATTCAACATAATTGAAAAGAAATACTGTTTATTTAAAAAAAACAGAGCAGCTACTCGAATATGAACAACCATCAAAAATAATGTTTGAACAAAATACATTAAAGATAACAATATGTTGGATTTAATCCCTTTGCTAAAAATAAATTGTCTTTGTTTATATTAGGATATGATACAGAGCAGATATGGCATTTGACATATTGTTTTGTAATTATTGCAGGTGATAGAGTAAAATTCTCCTTCAGGTTTTAGCTTATTATTTTGCTTAGTATATAATAATTGTCTCTAAAAATACATAAGAGTGACCTTAAAAGATTATATGAACACTAAAGGTACATTTTATAAAACAATATGTCAAATGTGTTGGTTGCCCACTGTAACAAGAATAACCACAACTTTGACATGAAAAAAAAAACCTACTCTGATCAATGGAAAAAATAATTCACTGCAATATAAGTGTCTAGAGTGTGCTTTGATAGCAAGGTCATCCACAGTAAATTTGCAGCTTGGCTCTTACAAAATTTCACCATTCCTGGCATTCCTCTTCTAATAGTGTGGGATACCTACTAACAAAAGTAATGGAAAGAACAAGAAAAAAAGCCCCTAAATGAATTTGGCTAGATATATACAAAAAAAAAAAAAATCTCAAATTCCCAGCACCCCTCATTTGTGTGCATGTGTAGTTGTACCAACATAACAAATTTAGTCTGAAGTTCTGAAGGATGAAACGCATCACAAGTAAACTTTTTCCGCTTTGTCATACAATTTCCCCATATATATATATTTATTCAAAATTATTTTAGTGTTTTTACACTTGATGATTTCTATCTTAATGAACAATTTTATACCTGAAATATTTTGCACTTTCTCTCACTATTCCATAATAAAAATATTAAACTTCATTGTACAATGTAATAATGAAATTGCCCCATTTAAAACTGTTTTGGTATTTGATTAATCTCTCTTAATTAACTGAAATAAAATAATAATAATAAAGCTGACACCATTTAATAAATAGAATGAAATACATTTTTTTATATCATAACTTAATTTTGATTGGTTGAAAGAAACCTATATGGGAAATCTTAAAATATACATAAAGCAAAGATTTTTAAAAGAATACATTGTAACTTTGAGAAGTGTCATTAACATTTAAAGATTTATTCTGACAATTGCCGCCCTGTTGGCGGGGCTTCAGAATACATCGACTGCTCCTCTGCAGAGGGTAAAAGTCCCTCAATGGGGCCACCTGTTGGCCGTGGGTGGCGACCCATGTCATCTGGGAATGGGAACCTGGTGACTGAGCAGGCCATGGCCCAGGCGCAAAGAGGTCATGGTCATGCAACATATCACTTTGGCCCTTACCTGGAATGGATGGGCGGTCGGAGAGGCCCGATCCGATCAATCGGCTAGTCACATCAAGCACTAATACTTACTCGCATAAAAATCCATCTATCTAAAACCCATAAGATGTTACACAAAACCTGTCTGACACTTTACTACAAACGAGATAGATCATAAGCAAGTATTAGGTGGTGGCAAGGGTCAATCTACTAGTAAGGAAAAGCCGTTACAGATAAGGATTTTAACTGACTTTTTCATCAAAAACGGGTCGGGAAAACAAAGTGAAACCTGAAATGCTAACAGCCACTTTCTAGTGCAAGTATACCTTCCTTGTATCCCTGGGATAATAGGGCGAATGGGTTTCCCCGCTAACATCTCCCACTGATGGGCTCCGAGGAGGGTGGGGAGCAAGGAAGGTGAATTTAAAAAAAAAAAATAAAACTCATAGCAACAAATAAAAACAAAAGACCCCATATTGAAGACAGTTCGGAGAGCCTATACTCCAAAACCGAGTCAGACAACGAACTTGATCAAAAAGCTGTTCCTTAGATTTATTGTCTCAGAGTCAATAGAGAACACCCCAATCACTAAGTTGTCTCCATTCATTGTGGAAAAAACAATGAAATCTTTAATAAAAACCTTAATAAAAAAACTATGGAACAATATCATTTTAGTAGAAGTTCCAAATAAAACTTCAGCAAATATGTTACTGAAGCAAAACTTTTTTTCTAAGCTTAAGATAAAAGGCTACCCCCACACTTCCTTGAACCCTTCAAAGGGTGTGGTAAGAAGCCCAGATCTCTCACTCTGCACACTGGATGAGATTAAAAACAACCTAAGGCAACAAGGCATCACAGATGCTCAAAGAATATTGATAAAAAAAAAAAACAATCAAATGACTCCAACAAACACTTATATTCTAATTCGAAAGATGTACCAGATCACCAACATGTAAAGATTGTGGAGAAATCGGGGAACACATTGACTGCAAACTCCCATTTAAAATGTGCAAACTGTAAACAAAATCATGCAGCAGACTCAAAAGAATGTGAAGTCTGGAAGAAAGAAAACAAATATCCTCAATTAAACACACAAAAAACATATCATACCTGGAGGCAAGAAGGATAGTTGAGAGTTCTCAGAATCCATCAACATATGCAAATATAGCCTGTATGACAAATAACTCTATTCAAAAACAAGAAACAAAGATGTCACAAACCAAAGAAAATTACAATCCTTGCAACAGCAAACGCCAATCCTCCCCATCACCACTAACAAATTAAGTAACTCCTCACCTCCAAAAATGAAATCTCCTTTGAAGAATCAACACAACAAAAAGAAAACAGAAATTGTCTTAATTGAAAATGAAAACAAATTCGAACTGATGGAAACTGATAACCAAGAAAGACATTCAAGACAGAGAAGTTCAAAAAGTCCCAACAAAAACAAATCAAAAACAATCATCCCATCTCAAAGAAGGGAACGGTCTTCATCCATACAAAAATCATCAAATGAATCAAAGGAAAAAAACCAAAGGAACATCCCTCAATAAACAAACAGAACCAAAAGAAATCCAAGGGTCAAAACATAACAAAAAACAAAATGCAAATAAGACAGAAAGCATAGAAAAGATGGACATCTAAGACGAAGATCCTCCCGAATGCATAGCATGCCAAGAAACCTATACTGTAAAACACTTCCTACTTGATTGCAGTGACTTAATACATATTCGGCAATCTCTTTACAATGTTAACAACTTGAAAGAACTTTTTGAAAAAACAAACCCCAATACAATCTTAACCTTTCTTAAAAAAGTTAAACTATACAAAAAAATATAATATCAATTAAATATTTGACGATAAAAAAGGGACCTTTGACACTTACCAGGTGAAAAGTTTCAAAAACAACACAACTTTGAAAGCAATGGATATTTTTAAAAAAGCAAGACAACACTGAAAAAAAAAAAAAACAACTTTTTGAAAGCAATCCAACTTTATCCCCCCCCCCCGCCAAAATTGTATGACCTTAAATGATCTCTTAAAGATTGATAGGTCAGTAAACATTAAACAAACAAACAAATATTCTGACAATTGAAAGGGACAAAAAAGTATCCTGAAAACTTGCATTTGTTTTATCCAACCCAATTCCTATTGACACTCTAACCATCTTTTCTATTGTTATTCTTTATCAGGATCAATTCTTCTTGTAAAAAAAATGAAAATAAATAAACTTTAAAAGCTTTTAGTTTTCTACTAAACCAACTTCGTTTTATATATAAAATTATTATGACTAATTTTTAAAGTGCCTTTTAAATATTACTAAAATATCTAAGATGTGCATACATTTTCTTTTAATAATAATTTTTTTTTTAACTCATTAGTGGTAAATTTTATTGTAGTAATAGGAAACTTCTTTTCTTTTGAGTTTGTTTTAGGATCTCTTAGGATTTTATGAATTTTTGATTTGTAACCTCATCTTTGTTGTTTTTATCATGCATTATGTATCTTAGATTTATTTCTAATGGCAATATTTTCTTTTTGAAAAAAAATGAATATAATAGAACTTTTTGTTTAGCTATTTCTTTTAATTACTGAAAATCTAAAGAATTTTTTATTCTATTTTAGTACCAACTGTTTCTTTTTTAATCAGGATGTAATATTCTTTGTAAAAGTGCATTTCGTATAAATCACATGAAGCAAGAATGAACACATGGAATTGGGTTAAAACTGGCAGAACACAAAGTTTTAGTGATTAATTATTTTTCATACTTCTAAGTGTTTATTATAAATAGAATGAGAATTGGCTATTTCTGCCATTACTTTGACAACGTGGTAGCATTGTTAATTACATATTGTCTGGAAGGAAGAATCTTTAAGATGGTATGAGAATGTAGTCTTGTTGTTTTCATCATAAAGTCATAAGAATTATTGTTTGAATTTAGTGAATCTACTATGTGTCTGTATTAAGCCATCAGCAATTCTGGTATAGTCATACTTGTCCATTGTTTGACATTGTCCAACCTATTTTTACATTGACATCCTCTCCTATGTCCATCTTCAAATATTAATCTGTATTTTTTATTTTAAACATATTCAGTCTATATACCAAATTTCAGAGATGGGAGGAGGGATGGAGAAAAAAATTGGTTAGTCACTCTTGACAGCTCTGATATCCCTAAGCATAGCTCTATATGGCCCATCCCATCTGGCCAAAAGAAATTCACAAAATGTTAGATAAATGTTAGTGATAAAAATATGAGGTAGTGTTGAATAGTTTTTAGCTTGGTTTGCTTCAAAAAAATTAAGCCAAACATCAGAATTTATTTTGGAATCTTTTAGTGGGGCCGAGAATTTTTCAGCGCAGCTACATATAGCCTACATCTCGTCCTTAAGGATAAAATGTGATGTAAGGGAAGTAACTCATTTTTTTAATATTTTTTTTTGTCGTGAAAATCTTTTCTTTTTAATGTGTGCCTTTGTTATATGGATATTTTTATGCCATAATGTTAAACATTGGGAATGGGAAACTATATTGCATGAATCTTACCTGCCTTGAAAATCAGCATGTGAAATTTTATACTTTTACCAGGTTTTAAACATTTAATTGATGTTGAGTAATAGGCAATTATCTAGCTTACCAGACTTATATTTGCTTTTATGTTTCTCACAAATAAAGTGTGTGCATGTATATAGATATGTGTGTGGGTGTGGAGCAACAAATTGAGAGGCAGCAAATCAAATAATCACATTTTATATTTTTAGTGAATCTTTGTAAAATGTTGATTAAATTTTCATTGTTTCTTTAGTCCTTTGGAAATGCCAAAACAATAAGAAACGACAACAGTAGCAGATTTGGCAAATACATTCAGATTGCATTTGGTACTCGAAATTACATCATTGGTGCTAATATGAAGACTTATTTATTAGAGAAATCCAGGTGAGTTACTAAAATTCTCCCTTGCCCTTTATTTTTCTGCTTTTCTCAAATGAATCTATTCAATGTTGAATTTTGGAAAAATTTTCTGATGAAGAATCAAATCTTTTAGTATTAAATTTTGCTGTTGGATTCTCTTTCTTGGCTTACTAAGTTTTATTTTCAATTAAGACTTGAATATAGCAAAAATATTTGAATTATTTGAAGTGTCAATATTGTGTTGTAAAGCCGTCTATTTTTTTCTCTTGTATCTAAATTAGACAGTGTCTTCTCCAAAGGAATGTTATTAAATAATGCTTAAATATAAAATACTTTTCTACAATATATATAATTCTAATAGATAATAATAAGACCATTTTATTAATGATAACAAACTTTCTATTACATAATATCACTTAGAAAACAGTGCTCAGTGTCAAGCAGACAGTTACTATAATAGTAGTAATTATATATATATATATATATATATATATATATATAAAACAGCAGAGTTTTGCTACATATGAATCACTGCAAAATTATACAGCCATATGTTGAAATACCAGTTCATGTATTATCACCAAAGTTATCAACATCGAGTGTGGTCAGTACATAGGTGGGTGTACGCTTGAATGTGCAGGTGGTGTAATGGATAATGGCTCGAAATTGTTAATTGAAGAGTCAGGTTCCAATTTCAGGTGGGTTCATTATATTCACTTACACGCTTGAGGACATGGCACAGTGGATAAAGGCGTTAGTTAGATCCAGTGAGAGGGCCCAAAGAGTGTGAGTTGAATACCTGGTTAAGGTAGTGGAGAACTTTCAGAGAGAAATTAAGAGGATATAACTGATAACTGACATCCATTAAACATGGCACATGGAACTAGAACCGTCTACTCCAGTGAGCGAAATAAAGGGTTCAGTTAGACATTCCAACCACCTGAAGAAGGCCGGAGCATACAATGTCTAAAACGTTGTAATAAATATGGCGACAAAGATGAGGACAATAGTCCGAATAATGTAAATGTACAATCTAAAAATATTTTCTGTCTTTAAATAACTTACAAAAGTTTGATAAGCATTAAAAAACAAATCAATCAATAAACCAAAATCTGTGTAGATAATGTTTTTTGCATTTAATATTAACATTTAATCAAATGGCAAAATTCAAAAAGAAAAATTGCTATTCTATTAATATTTAACCTCTATATCATACATAATTTTATCTTAAAAACTAATCTTATGTCAGTTATTTTTTTTAAAATTGTATGTATTTATAAAAATATTTTTTTGTCTGTAATAAAAAAAATGAAATCTGTATATAATAACATAAATTTATGAAGAAATTCACCAAAGATTGGACATGACGTTTTCTATGAAACTTAATCCTGATTCATAAGTGAATTTTATATATATATAAACAAAAACCATTGATGGAACAAACGAACAACTTGCCAAAACCTAAAACTAAACTAAATTTATTTCGCTCACTATATATATATATATATATATATATATATATATATATATATATATATAAAAATATATAAAAACTCAAATAATTTTCATCATTGTAAAACATCTTTCTTATACCTGTATCTATTTATATTAGTTTAGTTGATTTAAAAAGTTGAATATTTTTCTTGTCATTTTTGTGTCATTCATACTCATAAATGTTTCTTCTTCAGAGTTGTTTTCCAAGCACCCAATGAAAGGAATTATCATATCTTTTATCAGCTGTGTGCATCTTCCAATTGCCCAGAATTAAAACCATTCCGACTGTGTAAGTTAAACCATTGTTGTTCAATATTCATTGAGGATGCTGGTGAATGTCTTGTGATAGTTCAAGCCAATAGCAGCAAAGAGTTAGTTTTTATCTTATATTTGATGTTCTTGGCAAAAGCATGCATCTTAAGGTTTCCAATCACACAAAATGCAATAAAAAATAGGTTGCAGAAATCACATTGACTGTGATTGAACAATCTGAGGCTCCATTTCAAATATTGAATTGTTAAGCTTTTTCTTTTTTTTCTTTTTTTTTTTTTTAAATGTGTATTTTATTAATAGAATTAATTTTATTATTGATCATTGTATTATTTGGAATTTTGGTGTTACCTACACAGGATAAATTTTCTTTCAGTTCCTTAGTTAAGCAATGCCTCCATGATTTTTCATAAACTTTTTCCCTGAAAAAGAGAAATATTGTCTGTTATCAAAAGGTAATAAAATATTTCAGAAAAACTGCTCTAAGTGGGCATTCTAGCATAGGATGGATTTAAAAAAAAGGATTGTGCCATAATTGTGTGTTTTGATGGGTGGAATAAATTTCTACTCAAGAAATGTGATTGGAGCTTTGCCATGGTATCTGTAAGAAATATTGCTCCTTTGTGTGCTGGTAGACAAAAAGAGAAAGTTTATTTTGTTGCAAATTCTAAATGAAAAGAAAATCTTTTGATATTTATTTTTCTCAGTGTGTAAACAGACCTATGTGTTGGTTGACAAGTTGGAATCTTAAATTTTTTGTTCTGTTTATGAATCAGGTTTTGTATTTATTTGTAAAATACATAATAATCAGTTTATTTGTTTGAAATGTCAAGTCTTATAAAATATAAACTGTAAGTCTATACATTAAATAGATTTCCATCCTTTTCTGCTTTTTGTTATTTTGACATGTTTGTTTGCATTTTCTGTAGCGCATCAAGATGAGTTCTACTACACCAACCAAGGAGAGAGTCCACATATCCAGGATATCAATGATGCAGATGTGTTTTTAAAGACAAGGAGTGCTTTCACAGAACTTGGTGAGCAGCAGACAACTTAAGAGCAAATCACATTATAAATACTGCATATGACTTAAAAATATAGTCAGTCTTTTTTTACTCTCTAAAGCAGTTCATATGCATTGAACTCAATGTACCATTCATCAAGTTAGATGAGTCTTTCAAATTTGAACTATAATATTATAATTGTAATAGTACATTACTAGGAAGATTAATCTATTTATCTATTTGTGCTTTAACCTACTTGTAGAATATAATGTTTATTTCAAAGGAATTTGTATATAAGATACAGTGGTTCTCCAGTTAGATGTGATTTCAGTTATGAGACCTGCAATAAACAATTCATAATGTGAGAAGTGATTTTGGTATATGAAAGAATATAACTTTTATTACAGTATGTTGTTATAATTGTCCTATTGTATTATTTGTTATTACTGTCTCATTGCACCTCATTGACAAATTAAACTTTATTATAGTTTATATATATATATATATATAAGACTATATGAATAATGGCAAAAAGCGTTTTGTCCTCTGAGGGACTTTATCAAGGTAAATATAAGGAATTTATCTTCTGACATGTATTTGTGTTGAAATGTGTCACAAAAGAAAAAAAAAAAAAGAAATTTTTGTCTTTCTCCTACTGTTGTAGCGACAGGCACAGTCTCCACTTCTGAGATGAACTGCCCTCCTTCTCATTCCAGCCCTTTACACAGAGCTTGGTAAATGGCCCATGCAAAACACCAACAAGCCAGCTACCAATCTCATCCTGGATAAGACAATAAACTACATCCAACAGCAAGGACTCTGATTAGGAGGTTTTGAGGAAGCGTGGAACCACCTCTTAATTGCTGGTGTTCCCAGGTTCACCCTGACCTGGGATGGTATCCCCTGTTAGGGTCCCAGCTATGGGTAAATAGTGAACCCCCAGTTTTTCCCATCATATATCCACGTCCTGGGTATGGCGATAAACTACATCCGTGGCATATCAACCACTGTAGGTCATTTAATGCCAAATTTAGTTTTTATATATATAAACTAAATTTGGCATTAAATGACCTACAGTGGTTGATATGCTATAAAACCCAATCAACCAACCACCTACCAATCACAGTTTCCATGCCTGCCCACCTCCACTCGCTTTGGGGGTGTCAACCAACTCATTACAATTTCGAATTTCCTCATCCTGAGACTTGATAATCACTGACATGATTTTTGGGGCCACATTAAGACCAAATCCCAATCGAGTGAGGCAATATCTCCGTCCTTTTACCATGACAGTCTGAAAGTGATCGGTGGACTCAGACTTCGAGGGGTAGGCCCTTCTTAAATCGAGGGTGGCCATGTTGCTCCCTTGCCACAAATTCTGGGCACAAACATATGCGTTGGCCGTATACGCATCTACAAAGTTATTCAATTCCCTGTAGTCCATGACTGGTCTCACTTTCCCCTTATTCTCTTGCACTATTGCCATCAACGGAATCAGTTCTCAAGGCAGCCTTAGCTCCACCTCCTTGGGGTACGGCGCAAGCCAGCCATTTGCTATCCAAAGCTGCAATTCATTTTCATATTCGCTCCTGATATGCTCTGGAACTGGGTACTCTGCTATTTTATTTTTCAGTGGCGCGGGCGTTCGGCCACCAGCCCACTTCCACGTTGCAGTTCATACGTGCCTGCACTGGTCGAAAGTTGCACTGAAGTCAGGTTTGTTTATTGCAATGGAGGCTCTGAGGGGCACATCTCAGCGGCAGAATTCGCCTCACCTGAGCTGCTTATATGGACTCCTCCCAGTTTTGCAATCACATCGACTCCTAGCAGGAGGTTGAGCCCTGGCAAGGTTTGGTGTACAATCAATACCTCCACGGTTACTGGGTGTATGTTGTTGATTTTCAGCTCCTCTGTTTCGACACCTAGGCTGGTAATGGTTTTTCTGTTGCAGTTACAATCTGTACCTCTTTAGGTCTCCACGAGCGACATGCCAACTTGCACATTAGTGTCTTTGAACACCTGGAGTCCACCAGGGCCGTGCATCTCTGTCCATCAACGAGCAGTTTAATCACAGGTAGTGCCTCAATGTTGCACTTGCCCGGGGAGGAGACCGGCGCTGGCGTCTTTTCCCCTGACTTGTTTCCCGGGCACTCTGATGCAAAGTGACCCATCCTTTGGCATCTGAAGCACTGTAACCTTCGGCGCAATTGTTGTACCTGGTTGTCCGTTGGGTGCAGCCATTATTCAGGTCGTTGGGGTTGGTGCACAGACAACACACAGTTTCTCCCGTTCTGGTCAGCAATTACTTCCACAGCATATACATGTGGCTGCTGGGCCACTGTGATAATTTGGTTTACAGGTCTATGGCCCGAACTCTCGCATTGAGCTGGTCTAATGTCAAAGTGTCCATTCGCACCGACGCCTGAAGCTGCTGCCTGACTTGCTGTGGCAACCCCGCAACAAATGCACAGGCTATCCATCTTTCGGGTGGTCTTTCTCCAATCTGGTGAGTCAGTCTTTCGAGTGCTGCCAGGAATTCATCGACTGTTTCTCTATCATGAAGTTGCCACGTCGCAAACTGTTCAAATGCTACGTATGCATCTACGGCGAACGCAGTGGTGTGTGCGTGCTTGATTTCCTTGAAGCTCTTTGCTGAGTTGCCAATACACAGCGAGAGTCCCACCAGTCAACTGCAATGGAAGAATGCGCTCGACCCTTTCTTCATCTGCCAGCTCACAGATCATCTCTACTTGCTCAAGCCATTCTATAATTGGTTCGTCCGATGCGGCCCCTCCAAACTAAGGAATCAACTGTAGGTTGAAAGGCCTCCTTGCCATTGGTGCTTGATTCAGATAAAGCATGTCAACATCTGAGGTTTGCCAAAATAGCTTGTGTTGAAATGTGTCACAAGAGAAAAAAAAAGAAAAAATGTTGTCTCTCTCCTACTGTCGTAGTGATGAGCACAGTCTCCACTTCTGAGATGAACTGCCCTCCTTCTCATTCCAGCCCTTTACATAGAGCTTGGTAACTTGCCCATGCAAAACACCAACAAGCCAGCTACCAATCACTGTTTCTGTGCCTGCCCACCTCTACTTGTTTTGGGGGTGTCAAGTTGAGCAACCAACTCATTAGAGTATTTATAAATAGAAGTAAATATATTTTCAAAATTTTTAAATTTAAAAACACTCGAAAATATTCTTTAAGCTAACTGGAATTAAACATTAACTATGGAGGATTCTAAGTGATGTAATTTAATGCCTAATAAATTAAAGTTAGTAAATGTTAGTTTTTTCTTATTTGTTTATATTTATTTACTTTTTTATATTAAAGTAATTATTTATTCTTTTATTTTAATTTGATAAATAATGTATTTTTTTACTTTAAATAATAGAAGGTTTTGATTTAATTGTTTTCTTTTAAAATTTTTATCATCATGTATGTTGATTTGGGAAACAATCCTTTCCCAAGCCAGCACACACACACTGTATATATATATATATATATATATATATATATATATACACACACACCCGCACTCTCTATCGCTTTGGTACAAAACAATTTCATGAATCTACTGGAGTCATGGAACATATTCCCCTGGAAGGGGCTGCTGTATAACTTTGAACTATACCTGAATTGATGCTAAAAATCTAATGGATGCGTATATTGTCTATAATTTTAAGAGTTATTAGACAGTGAAACTTCTACTTCATTTTTGCTATTCCCACAACTCTACTGAGCCATTCAACTGCTGTCTTCTGTATTCTGATTAAAAGAGTAGGTCACTTTTTTTCTTTTTTTTTTTACTGGAGATATATGAATAAGAAAGTAGAATAAGTAGAGTTGTCTGACAATTTGTTAGTATGTGTCTATGTTAAATATATGTCAGTGTTAACTATTAACTATAAACTAACAAGCACAGTACAATATAAAGTGAGGGAAGTCTAAAATGAAATCTGCAAATAGTAAGAATATGGACTGAATAACATTAACATTTCTTAATTATCAGGTATAAATCTTGGTGATTTAAGGATTGCATCTGTTGTAAAGTAGAAGAAACACATTTTCAAAGTTAGTAGAAACAGGTGTATTTTGACTGTAAAAAGTCAATTTTACATTAATAGTTTTTATTTTTTGAATTTGAAAATTAGCATAACTTATGCAGCTTATAGTAATCTCTTTTCTTTCATTTACTTTATTTTATTTTTTGCAGGAATAAATGAAGATGACCAGTTGAAGATGTTTGGTGTTGTTAGTGCCATTCTTCATCTTGGAAATATTTTGTTGGAACCTGGTGAGGATGAATCAACATGCAATGTCTCGAAGGTTAGTTCACTTTATTATTTTTGAACAAAGAATGCATTTTTAAAAAAATTTTTGAATATCGGTAAGTTGTACTTAGTAGTGTCTCTAGTGGAGAAACAATTTTAAAGAATACTACAATTGTCTAATTATTTCAGATGTCTTAAAGATATTTTCAAACTAAACAATACAAGAAACTGTTTGATTTATGCTTGGACTCTAACCCTTGTTCATTAATTTGTATTTTTTTACTCTCTAAAGTCCAAAATAATGAATGTTTGTAATGTTATGTTTTTGAATTTTTTTTATGTGAAGCACTTTGATTATAACTTATTTTATTATCACCTGTTTTCCTCTGTTTTATTTTTCTTGCTTTTTTTATCACAACTTTTTACTGAGCGAGTAAAGTAGATGCCATGAAATAATGAGGTCAGGGTGTTTAAATCTCATTGGCAGCAGCATTTTCATTTCTAACTTTTAACTTGTGGCTAAAGATTGTTGTGATAAAGAAAAATAAGATGGAGAAAAATTAGTAATAAAAGAATTGTAATAAGTTTTGTTAAATAGAAAATATCTATTTTTCTTGCAAATTATTTTTTTTAAATTTACATCTAATGTGTTTTCTCTTTTTTTTTTCTTTCTGCAGAAGAATTCGCATTTTGATATTGTTTGTGACTTGCTTTCTTTGAATAAAGAAGAAATGCAACTGTGGTTATGCAACAGGCAAATTTCTTCTGGATCTGAACGAATCATCAAACCTCTCACAGCCAAAGAGGTAACTTGTTCTATTCTCTCTTTCTCTCTCACGCTGGGGTTCATTAAATTTGGCAAAATAATTGTTAGGCTCTCATTGTTCTATGAAAGTTAACCCCACACATTCCAATTTGACTTTCATTCTGGTAAGGGGGTGTAATGATGGTGTATATCATCAAGCGACTCCAGGAAAGTGAATATATCTACAATAGACAATTGTATACTTGCTATGTTGACCCTGTAGCAATAGCGACTTCCACTTCTCATTCATTAGAAATTGTTGTACATATCTGAAGATCCTAATACTGAATCATTTCAAATTAAATCGGGAGTATGATGAGGAGGAAATGTTCCAGTTTATTTAATCTCTTCCTAGACTGTTTTGCACATTTACAAACATAGTTGTGAAGAGATGAACACTGATTATTTAAGCATTCTATACCACATCCCAAATGAAATGCTGATTTAAAAAAAAAAATTAAAAAAAATGGTGATCCTGTTTTCCCTCCAGAGGCCTGTGTAGTGAGTGGGGTGGGTGTATGGTGATGACATAGGCATTCATAGTTGGGATAAGAATGATTTTGAACAAAAAATATATATCCTCTACCAAGTAACTGTTTATATTTCTGAGATGAGGTATTATGTACACTATTTACATTATTCGGAGTATTGTCCTCATCTTTGTCGCCATGTTTATCACAACGTTTTGGCCGTTGTATGCTCCGGCCTTCTTCAGGTGGTTGGAATGTCGAACTGAACCCTTTATTTCGCTCACTGGGGTAGACTGTTCTAGTTCCATGTGCCATGTCTAATGGATGTCAGTTATCTCCTGTTAATTCTCCTCTGAAAGTTCTCCACTGCCTTGATTGCTAGATCATCTAATGTTAAATTTGTCTCCAGGTTCTTATTATCACAATGCATTGTGATAATACAAGATCTTGGCAGATCTTGTATTATCACAATGTGGGATATTTAATAACAAAAGTTATGAAAACACAAACAAAAAGAATCTAAATTATATCGACTAAATTATATATCCAAAATCAAAAAAGAAATTCTTCAAATTTAAAATTCCCAGCATCTCTCATTCATGCTCATGTGTAGTTACATAAACTTAGTGCAATGACATCATAAAGGTCAAAATGCGTCCTATAAAAAAACTTTTTCTTTTTTGTCAATACTTGTAATGGAAATGGCAGCTTCAACAGAGTCAAGCAATGTCATAGTCTCTGCAGACAAAGCTTACTATTATTATTATTTACTATTTTTCATTATTGCCAGTCTGTAGGATAATGATTTTTTTCTAAATACATTGGAGAAAAATTATGAAAAGTTTGCTTGATAATTTTCCATCAGAATGGTTAGCAAATGTTGTGCTAGAGAAGCACTCAAAAGGCCAAGATTTTATGCTTTGCATTTTTAGAAAAACCAACTTCATGCTACCATGTCTCATTCCATTGGTTACTAGAAGGTCATATATAGTGACTCTGTTAAGAGACATTTAAATACAGGTGTCAAAAGTAATATCAAGTTTGGTAGTTGGAGCTAACCAATTTAGCTGGCCCATCAGTGACCATAGCTTTTCTTCTTGGTTTAAAGCAGTTCACTAATTTTCTGAACTGCTCATTGATGACCGATAGGAACAGGTACTAGGAAGAACAAGTTTCTTACCATGTTGGCATTTATCCCCGCAACTATACAAGCAGAAAATGGCACAAGGCCCTGTTTAAAGTGGAAATCTTCTGTACATAGGATGAGTAACAAAAATTGCTCATCTCTCTTGGCACATTCCATTTCACAAATGACCCCCTTCACCTGCCTAGATGGCAGGAGGGGGGGCACTCTGGTGCAGAGAATCTACTTTAGCAACTTTAGAAACAAAATGCTCAAAGGAACGATTTCACAAAACACAGTCTCACCAACTGCCCACTGCTGGCTGCTAATTTTTTTATCACTTTTATTGGCATGAGACAGCTGACAAAGACTTGGATTTGGAAAAAATGCAGATAGGACCATATCTAGACAAACCAAGCTGCCCTGCTACCAAAGTGGAAAACACAGATGTAACTATTTTTGACAAACATGTCTCTGTGACTCGGGGCCACTTTTGCATCTGTACTGATGAGTGTTCACCACACTAACCCCAATTACCTGATCGCAGATATGACAGTTTGCAACAGATCTCTTCCATCAAGTAATTCTCTGAAGTGGGGTTGGTTTGTGTTCCTCTACCTCTTCCTCATGTGATTCTTCCTCCATGGTATCAACTGGCCTATCCACACGCACAAGGATTTCCACCTCTTTTTCAGACCTATCATCTTCACTACTTGATAAAGATGGTGTGGCATTCCATTCACCATGACTGATTGTAGACTAACAAATCCAGTAATTCATCCCTTTACAAAAGTTGTTATGCACTGGTTGTGTGGGGGCCTTTACCCACACAGGGTCTCAGACATCATTGGAAGCACTGAATCAATCTCATTAAGCCAAGCCTCATATCTGTAGACTTGATTTGCAGGTGCAGTCACTGATGTGATGCGTTATCTTTGTCGGTGACATTGTGCCAGTAGGTGGACTCTTCAACAATACAGTTCATCCTGGCCACAATCCTCTTGACACTTTTGTGACACTGCCTCGTTATTCCATTTCCTGTCATGATATGCACACAACAGAATCACAAATTCATACCTCATCCAGATTTCCCTGCTGTGGAATCATCTGTCATCATCTGTGAATAGCTCACAAGGTGGTCTACTCTCACAGAACACTAACTCCAACACCAACAATGAGTTTTGGCAGTGTAATGATCACCACACAGAAAGATGTGATGGGCTACATTATGTTAGTGTCAGGTAATGGCTGGTATGGTAGTGCGTGATGTCCAGTATTAACCTGTGCCAAGTACTGTTCACTCCCAGTCTGCCCTTTTGTCAATGGACTGGCACAGGATCTATTGTTGTACAAGTCCCAATGGCACTTTACCATGGGATTTGACATAGGACAAACTGTTCTCACAAAATATGCAGTACACAGCACTCCTGGATGCCCACTGCATCAATGTACTTCCATTATCTGACTGGGACTCATTGTCTTCAGAGAAGCAGCACACACCTGCTGCACAGGTTCAGCCCTTTTTTTGGTCATATCGAGCTATCTTCAGAGTACATGGATCATCTTGTCTGCCAAGTTTTGGTTTGACATGACCAGCTCCATATCTATAGACAACTTGTATTCTTGGTCCCATTCATTGCTCTCAACCTTCATTGTCCCAGCATCTTGCTCGATGCTTTAGTACATAATCTAACTTTGTCTATGAGGGCATCAGACAACTAGTGGTACGCTTGCAAGGAATCAGTCTTTATGTGCAAACTCTTTGTCTGCCACTGGAGTACCAAGTTGAGCTCTTGATTGCAGCATCCAGTTTAGCCAAGTTGATTAGCACCACCACATTATGTGGCAGACAATATTGCTCTGTGGATCATTGGTAGAAGTTGAGTATGTACCCTGTTGCTCAGGCTCCATGGCTGCTGCAATCAATCCCACCACTGGCACATCATCCTTCAGTATGGTTCTGGCTCAGTCTAACAGCTCATTGACATCCAGTGCATCCATCCAAGAGTAAGTGTGAAGCAGCTGTTGATGTGCTTTGGCAACCCTTCTACAAATGCACAAGTCCATGGTCAGACACCTCATCGTACAAGGTTAACAATTTGCGGATATCTGCCAAGTAGACATCCACAAATTCATTTGAATTCAAGCACTTAGCTATGAACTAGTCATATGTTATGAATGGATCTGTGGCAAAGACAATGTACAGGGCATCCCTGATATGGCCTACATTTTTTTTCTTTCTTCCTTGCTGAGTTAGTGTAACACAGCAAATGCACTTCCTGTGCAGGAGTGACAGAATGTTAGCAATGTTTTTCATGCCGCAAAGTTCAGCGTTTTCAAACTCTTCCTAGTCTGAATCATCCAATTTGGAGATAAGCCTCAGATTGAACTTGCTGTCTGCCATGAATGCTGAAATAGCTTGTAAAATATGGCAAGGGTATATTGAGGTTGTGAGGAAACACTTGATTGCTCTCCCAAGAACTATGGGGTAACAGGCAGAGTAAAGAAAGAGACAAGAGGAAATGAAACAACACTGCCTCATAAACCACAGTACAGTAGACTACATGCACCTTTAGGAACAAAATGTCCAAGGGAAAGACTTCACAAGACACAGTCTCACCCACTGCTGACTGCTGGATTTCCTGTCACTTTTATTGGTATGAGAGAGCTGACAAAGACCTGGATTTGGACAAGTTGCAAATAGGCCTATATCTAATTTTGACAGACATGTCTGCACATGACTCTGGTCTTCTTTGTTTCTGTACTGATGCGTGTTCGCCACAGCCCTGTAATACAATTTTAACACCTGAAGCAATAATGGTATCACATATTATATATTTTAAGGTTTTTAAATTGGGGTTAATACTGATTCTATTAGGCTTTTATATAAATTTGTTATTTTTTGATAATTTATTTTAATACTTCTCATTTATTAATAGCTCTGGTGAATCATTCAAAATTGTATTTCCCTTCATTCTTCTTTAAGCAGCACTTGCTATTGGTTCTCATTAAACTGCTGAACAAGTTGGCCAGAGCATGGAAAGTCTGGGTTCAAACTTCCCCCTCCTTAAAACGGGAAAGTATTTCTGTGCCATTTTGTTTCCAGAAGCTTTGGCACCTTGATTAAAAGCATAGAGAAGACGTCAAGCATGCTCATTCTTGTCTACTTGGCATTCTATCTCAAACAAGTGTCAAATCTGAAATAAAATTTCAATAATATAAGACAACAGTTTCACAGGATGACTAGAGTTGTTAAGAAACAACAAATGTTACAAAAGCTGATTCTTCAAGATGATTTGCAAAACATCAGAAAAAAAATGAACAGATATATGTAACAAGCTAATATTACAAAAAAAGGAAAATGTTTAACTCAAAAATTAAGAAGGATTTTGATGATAGAGCTTTCTGTTCTTTCTTATATCTCAGTTTCTCATCTTATTTCAGATAGGCTAACATTCATCTTTAATGATGAATTTTAGAGTTATCATCACTCAGGCAGTATACTGGTTCACCTCATTCAATAAGAAAATCTCCACCCATTGATATAAAGATAAATTCAATTATGATGAAACAGAAGAAAAACTTGCTCAATGTTTAAGTCCCAAATGAAGGGAAAATGTCTTTATCTGCAGTTTTTATATTTTTATTAATCATTTCACACCAAGCATGGCAGTAAAGCCACTATGACAAGTGTGAAAGAATATGAAAAAAAGAAGACATTAAGAATAAAGAACAATAAAAAAAAAACTGGAATTAAGAAGACAAAAGATAATAATTGACATTGCATTAAATTTTTGTGAAGATCAAAGTTGACTGGAAAGTTATGAAAGAAAGTTCCACAAATGAGAAGTGTAAAAGAAGAAACTGTTAGCATAGGACTTATGATTACATCTAGCCATTTCAACTGTAAAAGATTAGAGCTAGCTACCAATCTAGTATTATGCTTATCAGAACAATTACCATGAAAATATTTCTAAAAAAGGCACAGGGAAGCTACATTGTGGTGGTAGGAATGACTAAAGCTGAGATAGTATAGTAGCATTTACATTCTGGCTTTTCATTGATTTGACTAATGTTTCTTGTTTCATTATTTCAGGCTGGCTATGGCCGAGATGCTTTGGCAAAACACATTTACGCGCGGGTCTTTGACTGGATTGTAGCCAAAATCAACAGAAACCTGTTGACTCATGAAGACACCCAAAACTTTATTGGAGTCCTCGATATTTATGGGTAGGTGTCACTTTTTATGAAGAATTCTTCATTTATTACTTTTCATCTTGCCAGAAATCTTGTGCTTGTGTCTTGGAGAAAAGGCAACGTGATCTATAATCATAAGCGTTCTGTATATAACTTGTTAAAATTTAATTCAGTAGATAACATTGTCTCATTTAAGGGATGTTTACAAAAATTCTTATATTTCTACTTTAGATTGAATATTTTATTTATTTTTAGTTTTGTTTTATGTTTGGTAACAGAAATATTTTTCTTATTAATGGAGAAATATGAGTTAAATATTGACTTATTTTTAAAATTTTCTATATAATTTTTTCACACAAATGTCTTATCACAGATATTTATTAATGAAAACATTTAGATTTTACTTAACTTCATTAGAAACTTGTTTACTATGTTCATCTGCTGGTCAGTTGCTCATCATAATCAAGTATGAAACATTCCAAAATGTGACATTTGTCATTTGACGTTATCTAAGATATAGGTATATGCTTTGACAAGTAACATTGCTCTTATTACATGAATATATATTTAAATTTTTTTATTATATATTTGTATGTTAATTACTTGTTTCAGAAATAATTCTATAAAGGATATATATTTATACATCTTATATTACCCCCCTGCTTTTTATACTACTCAAACAGAGCATTGAACTTTTGAGATCTCAAATAAGGCTAGTAATGGGTGTTTTTAATGGTTGTTTAAGGTTTTCTGCATGTAATAAATGAATACGTACACATGTTTTGTTGAGTGTGCTAACTTCTTATTCAGCAAATTATCTTCTTGTAGACAGGAGAAATATTTGTTGGATTTCAGCAGTCATTTGTCTCACTGACCAGAATATATAGACCCATTTGAAAATAAAACTATCACAAAGAAATCTCTGACAAGGGAGGAGATTAAGAAATCTTGAAGATGACTAGCATGAGGAAAGTGTCACAGAACTTATTATTCCTTCACAACCAGATGAGATGACCAATAAAAACTTATTGAATGAAACTGAAATGGAAAATAATTTTGTTTGTTGAAGTAGGTAGCACTTATGAAGTAACAGAAGGTTACAGTGTCTAGATTTGCTTCTTCTGAAATTGGTATATCATCATTGACAGTTTCTTTTGGAAAACAAAAGATGAAATCTACTGAAATCCTTGAAACAAAATAGAGAAAATATGCACTTAACTATTTGCAGGAAATGTGGCCAGTATCTAAAAAAGAAAAAAATATGATGCTAAGTTGAATGCATTTCAAATGGTAACAATAATCTTCTTATTGAAATCTTAGTCCAGAGTCATTTATTCTAGGTAAAAAGACAAACAAATATTCACACATGATAGAAATAAATTGAGTGTTTATCAGCATTTTGCCATTTAGTAAAAATCATCAATGTTTGCAAGAGGACACATAAACTGGGAACATCATCCTGGTGGACGTGTAACCATTGTTTACAGTGCTATAACGAGGTCAAGATTTCAAGAAATACATAGTGTCCATATCTAAATGAGATCACTAAAATCAACAAAACAGATAAAATAGCAAAAGTAATTTATTTTGATAAATATGAACCCAATTACATGTAAGTTAAAATTATTGAATCGCATCGATCATTAAATTGAAATGATAGCCAAAATTCATCAAATTCATCCAGGAGGAAAAACATTTGAGTTAAACCAGTTAAGTTTTAAGCCAATCAAATTTTGTGCAATTTTGATGACTACATATTCAACTTTGTCCCTTTCATGTCTTGGAAAGGACAGTGATCCTTTGAGTACTGTGACTTAGATAATTGACTAAAGTGATACCAGCCAAAGAAAGTGAAATATATGAATATGTATGTGCATTATTTATTTATTAGAACTTTTTAAGCTTGAAAACAAATTAATCAGGAAGAAATAAAGGCTGGAGAAATTTTTTTCAAAAAATATATTGTTCTTTCTTTGCAGATTTGAAACTTTTAGAATAAACAGTTTTGAGCAGTTTTGCATAAATTATGCAAATGAAAGGCTTCAATTACAGTTCAACACGGTAAATAAACATTGTTTATTGGAATTGTTTGATTTTATCTGTTTTATTAACTCTGTTTTGTATGAACATGAATAACTGGTTTATATATTGAAAATTTCCAGAATTACCTCCTCAAAAACTGTATGGAGAAAAATAAGAAATATGCACATAATAGTGGTGGGGGGAGTCATCGTAAACATTTTAAAACCATCAGGTGCAATTGAAGTGCTAAGGATTCTTTTTTTTTTTATTTGAAACCATATCAGTTATTCGTTTTTGGCTAGCATTTCTTTAATCTATTTTTGAGAGGTTTATTTTCAGTTGATAATAGCAACCAGAAAGTTGCAATAAAAACAGCAGAAGTAAGATGAAAGATATGCTAATCAAAATTTAATAATAATTGGTAATGCTTCATCATTACATCTGATACTATAAGTGACAAAAAAACTTGTTAGAAAGCATATTGGAGATTGTAGAAGAATAGGATTTGGCTGTATGAAAGATGTCTACTGGCAAAGCCTTTATAGCCTAATTAACAAGTTGCTTTTAATGGTAAGATGAGCTTCCAAGGATAAAGGTTGTGAATTCTAATCTTGCCAGAGGCACTTTCTTTAGTTCCAAGTGATGACTATAGAATAACAATGTGAGAGTTGTTATAAAAAGCAAAAGAAATAAGATAGAAAGGAAAACCAGGTGAAAATAAATAACTGTTCTGTATATTTTAATGGTGATTATTAAAATCGGTAAATTTAGTTAAATTCCTATGAAGAAACCTGTGTAGATAATGTTTTTACTGATGTATTTATTTGTCACTACAAATTTTCAGTATTTTAGAATGTTGTTTCTAATTATTTCAGCACGTATTCACGCTAGAGCAACAAGAATACCGAAAAGAAGGACTTGAATGGCATGAAATCAGTCATTACGACAACACCCCTTGCATTGATCTAATTGAAAGTCCGCAAGGCATCCTTGCCTTATTAGACGATGAATGTAAGGTAAGAGAATATTTATCTTTTTTATGCTTTATGAATAATCCTTAAGAGAGGCTTATTATTATAAATGTATTTTTTTGTTGTGATCAATTTTGGAAAAATCTATTAAACTAGTGAACCAGTGGAGATGAAATTTATCCGTTTCATATAGAAACTTGTTATCACTTGTCACATCTGCTCTCTGCAAAATTGTTTAGGAATGGATATGTAGCTTACTGTGAATGATTGCTTGTGAAATAAATATATTTAAATATTAAACATTTTTTTCTTGTTGGTGCAGTAGAGAGTAGAAAAAAAACTATATGTTTGTGGAGTGAGTAGCCATGGTCAAATGCAATATAATAGAACTGTCCAACAGAAGTGACAAAATTTCCAATAAGCAAAAACAAGAAAAAGAAAAGAACAGGGCAAAAGATAATATAAAACAAAAAAACCCTAACCCCTAACACTAACCCCTAACCCTAACCCTAGGGCAAGGCAAATTAACAGTAATAAAGTAAAGCAACAGTACAGTAATATGGCAAAAAGTTCACAAACTAATAATTGGTTTTGACACACAAAAGTAAGTTTAGACAAGTGAATGGAGCATTCTGACTTCAAGACAGATTGGGACTGAGTCAAATGAAACTGAGAACCAGCCTATTTTATTGGCTAGAAAAAATTCCAGCTTGCATTTATTGTTTCTACCTGAAAAAAAGTGGGTGGGGAAAAATATTTCAGTCATTTCCAGTGTAAATTGGAATCAACAATGTGGGATGGTGATGTGTTAAAAATTATCTTTGCAAAGCTGTGGTTATGGCAGTTGAGTGTTAGTCACCGGTAATTTCATAACCTCATAAAACTAATTACCGATATTGGATTTTAAATTTAGGATTTTAGAATTTAAAATCTTTCTGTTATGGAGGATAGATATTTTTTAATAATTTATAAAATATTTTGTTGTCTGTATTATCAATAAATGATAAATTTTCTTTCATATATTCCAACTTAGCTAATCAGAGTATAGAGAAATGTTCAATGTGTCCTCCTAGTTTCCTCCTTTAATTCACAAAATAACTGTAGAAAAGTTGAAAGCAATTTAATTCTCAAACTTAATACCCACAATTTAGGATTAAACAAAGATCTAGGCATTCTCAATGATTATACTTACAAAAATAACTGAAACAGTTATCTTTTTATATATATATATATATATATATATATATATATAGTGTTTCTAGAAAGACCTGACTATATTTGCATACATTCATATACAGTGTGTGGCAGAAATACCTTCCACATAATGCTAAGACATTAGTGGCAATAGGGTCTTCCTCTAGCTAATGTTTTATCATTATGTGGGAAGTAAGTGTATTTCTCTATTTGTCTATTTACAATACTATTTTCTGACCATATAAATGTTTGTTCATCATATAATTATTTAGGGATTTTTTACTTCTCTCTTTTTACTAATACTATCAACCCCATCATTATTCTTCTATCATCACAGTTAATTTTCCTTACTAGCACGCCACCATTTTATCATCATTTTTATTATGGTAGATATGACTATAAATAATAGTCATCTTATGTTCTCACATCACTATTTAGAGCCGCCCTGTTGGTGGGGCTTCAGAATACATCAACTGCACCTCTGCAGAGAGTAAAAGTCCGTCAACAGGGCCACCTGTTAGCCGTGGGTGGTAACCCGTGACGCCTGGGAACGGGATCCTAGTGGTTGAGCAGGTCGTGACCCAGGTGAAAATTTGTCATGACCCTGCAACACACCACTTTGGCCTTTACCCGGAGAGACCCGATCCAGCCAATCGGCTAGTCACGTCAAGCCCTAATACCTATCCTCACAAAATAAATATCTTTCAAAGTCTATTTCAAAACAATGATATTCCCTAAATAAGTGTCAGAAGGCAGTGGCAAGGGTCAATCAATTAGTATATAAAAGGCACATGAAGGAGTAAATAAGTTTTCATAAAAACAGGGGTAAGAAAACAAAAACACTGCTGGCAAAAATACTACTAATATAAATATACCTCTTTTGTATCCCTTAGAAACTAAGGCAAATGGGCTTCCCCTTAATATCTCCCACTACCAGGCTCTGAGGAGGGTGGGGAGCAAAAGAGATGAAGATAAAAACAAACCCACATGGCAACAAAAAAAAAACAACAAAAAGACCCCATATTGAATGACAACGAGTCAGAGCATGAACCAACACATCATCAATCCATAGTATTAATAGTATTAGCATCTATTGAAAATACTCCTCTTACCAAAATATCTCCTTTTAAAATAGAGAAAATCATCTCAACCGACATTCAAAAACCATAATCTGTGAAAAAGATGAAGAATGGAACAATACTAATCGAAGTATCCAAAAATACACATGCAAAAAGAATATTAAACTGGACAACCTTTGACAAGATAAAAATCAAAACATACCTACACGAAACCTAAATTCATCCAAAGGAGTAGTGAGAAGCCATGAACTCTCACTATGCACCCTGGAAGAGATAAAAACAAACCTAAAAAACCAACAAGTAAAAGATGTCAAAAGAATAACTATTAAAAAAAATGGTACACTTATTGAAACCAACACACATTAACCTTTAACTCCCCTGTAATACCTAGGGACATAAGAATTGGATATTTAATAGCAAAAGTGGAGACCTACATACCAATGCCACTTAGGTGTTACTGATGCCAAAGATATGGACACCACCAAAAAAACTTGTGCTAGAGATCCAGTGTGTAGAAGATGTGGAAATAGAGAGACTGAACATCCAGAAGATTGCAGGGAAAGACTTAGGTGTCTAAACTGCAAAGAGGAGCACAACTGCAGGCTCAAGAGAATGTAAAGTATGGCAGAAAGAAAAGGAAATCAACAAAACAAAATATTCACAAAATATCTTTCTTTGAAGCAAGAAAAATTGTTGAAACACAGACACCCACAATAACATATGCCTCTATGCTGACCTCAGAAAATAAACATCCTGAATATCCAAAAAAAGAAACAACAGAAAAAACTAACTACAAATCTGAAGAAATCTTAACCTTAATAGATAACATGAGAATTCTACTTACTGAACTAACCATAATACTCAAACCTGAAATGATGACAAATAACCAAAAAACAACTGAACACTCCACATCAAATACCACAAAACAAACTCAAAAAAAGGAAACCAAAAGCGTCAGCAGAAGGCAAACAGACCTGCAAAACCAAGACAAAGAATCTACAACAAACAACCTGAAAACTCAAAACAGATCTTTGCTTCTCAACAAAATAGAACAAGAACAATCAGAAAACACGGCCGCAACTGAACTCTTGAAAAGACCACACCATGGAAAAAATACGACTCAAAAAGATACACAAACTCATAAGAAAAGCCGGCCGAGCCAACGATCAACTTCCAAGAACAGGTCAAAAAGCCAAACAAAATCCTCCCCAGAAAAAAAGAAACAAAACAAAAATCCTAGAAACATGTCAACTGAGAATACCCCACCATCCCTAGAAAAGATGGAGATATCATAAAAAAAAAAAACAAACAAAAAAAAAAAAAAAAAAACATAATGAACTCAAGATCACACAAAATTCTACAATAGAACTGCAGAGGAGTGAAGGCAAATATAAATGAACTGCTGTTACTAATTACAGACATAAACCCAGCTATAATATGTCTTCAGGAAACCTTCTTAAAGAATCACAATAAGATAAATATAAAAGACTACCAACAATATAATTATATTAAAAACTCTAGTCTTTGATAATCAGGAGGTACATCTATTCTAATCAGAAATGACCTACCACAAAGTCTTATTGTCTTAAAAACAAATTTACAGGTAGCAGCTGTAAAAGTGACTTGAGTCTTTGAAGAGACAGTCACCAACAAGATATACAGTTTCCTTTCAGAAATCGGCATCCATAACAAAATTTGAAAAAAAAAAAATTTTTTTTTCCTTTTTATAACTTAACCCAATGCCATGATTAAGCTCTGCTAAAGTACTTGCAAGAGCCTTTAAGGCCAGAAATATCTATATGAATATCTATGTATCTATTGTCAAGGTGTAAATGTGATTATCTTTAATCGAAGTATTTATCTGATTGTCAAAGTGATAAATATCAACATATATATAGAACACAAACAAACAAACTATTTATATCAAAGAATTTTATGAATGACAGAGGAAAGCTGGAAAAGGATCTATCTAGATTTTTTATCAAAGCCAGGGATATCTATTATTGGCATTAAATAACCCAACAAATTAGGTTCAGTCTCTAATTCTTCAGGATTCGAAATTTAGACAAGTTCAAAACAAGTATTTTATATGAAATACTGATGAAGGCTACTGAGCAACCAAAAATTCAGTAATTTCCATAAAACTTTATAATTTATTGTGCTGCACATAAAAAAAAGATAAAAATACACATAGAATATCTTTGTCATATATATATATATATATGTATTGGACTTTCATTGTGGATGACAAATAAGGGCTCAGTAAAATAAAGATGTGCTTAACTTTTATGGACACACGTGTCTCCCAAAGCCTGCAGGGGTCTTGCAAACTTTTAGACAAATGGAACGTGGTTGAGCCATTTTATTTTGTACAATTCAGGACAACAGATAAAACTCAGTATGCCACTTGAGCAATAGTTGTAGGGTGGTAGAAAATTTGAAATTATAAGAAATTATACCTGGATTAGTAATAGAATTAAATTTAAGTCAGCTTACCATAGCTGGTCTGGAATTTTCTTTTTAAAACCTTTGTAAAATACACATCTCTTTGTTGAGATTTCCCACCATCAAAATAGAAATTATGGGTCAAAAATTTTTTTTTTTTTTCAGTAAATCCCAATACTAAATGAGCAACAATTTTTTTTTACAAAAATAACAATTTGTACATTTATAGATGCTGAGTGGCAACGATACCAATTGGTGCACATCACTCTTCAAGAAACTGTCTGGAACTCAGTGCTTTGAGAAACCTCGTACCTCACAGACATCATTCACAGTGTGCCATTTTGCTGAAAAGGTGACATACATGTGCCAGGGTTTCATGGAGAAGAACTTGGATACAGTTTCTGATTTACAAGTAGAAACTTTGAAGAGAAGTTCAGTAAGTATTTCTTTGTTCTTTTCTTTCGTATCTATAAAACTTCTTATTTGCTTGCTATTCTTATTGTTTATTTTTTTTCTTTGTAAGGCCACTTTAGTTGTGATCAAGTAGTAGAAGTAGTGGTGGGGAAATTAAATCTCTTTAATAAGAATTCAGAAAATTGCTAAAAATGTCCTTAAAATGTTACAAAACATTTGTGTTCTAAATGCCTCTATAGTGGCGTGGGATTTGGAAGTTAAAATGAACAGTTGATTTACAAATGCCAAGAAGACTTATGAAGGATGATAAGGATGAGGAAACACATGGGTAATTTTAACAAAACAAGAAGGAATTTATTCACAAATTTACATGCTTGAAGTTGTCAGTAGCTCATTTCAGGAAAATAAATCAGAATTCTTAAAGTCTGTAGTTTTAACTTATCATGAAGAAGAAATGTTCATACAATAGATTAAATGATCTGACACTAAATAATATTAAAAAATGTTTAAGACAAAGGTAAGAGAGTTTGTTGCTCACTGATGGGATATATGGTTTGCATACGTTCAAAGGTAGACAAAAAGAGATAGCTTTCTTGGATTGGTGAAAGCAAATTCTTTGAAGTGTCATGTACTGGTTAGAGGCTGATAATATAAGTGGTGAGTAATTTTACACTGGCGTGTACTTCAGCACTGATTGTGAGGAACTGAAACAAGACCTTTCACATGACATCAGACACTCTCATTACTTTAATTTTTCTTCCCATTTTATAGCAAGAAGAATTTCGTGTAGGCTCATTACTTTCTTTCCTCCTTTTTCTTGGCTCATTAGCCAATTTCTGTGAAAGCAAGTTTTTCAATAATTCAAAAAATTTTCACATAAGCTTTTAAATTTCTTTCTTGGCTCTCCAGTTAATTTCTGTGAAAGGTAAAAAGTCTCGCATGTGCTTACAAATTTCTTTCCTTCTTCCTTAGTCCTCCGAATTTGGAGGCAGTGAGTAAAGAGTTATTTCGCACTCACTACACCTCCAATTTGATCTATCTTACTTGGTTGACTTTCTCAATTTCTCTATTGATTTGAGCATTTTCCCATAACCCACTTATTTCTATCTCTCCTGATATTATTCTTTGATTTGGGTTAATTCTTTGAAACCCATTTCTTTTACAACCCTCTTCCCACCACTCTGCCATCTGTTGATCAGTTTGGGTACTAAAGTCATAGGACAAAAATGTTAAACTCTCATTAGCCACTTTTTAATTGAACATTATTGATTTGTTTTATGATTACGATAAAATGAATATTTAACAAATTAATTGCAAATATTTTGTACTGTCTGTTTGTCCTTACTAAAACTGTAAATGAAAGCAGATGCACAAAATTTAATAAAACTGAAAGTTTATTGTGGTGGTAAAGCAACGACTCAACTGATAGTAGCAGATAGGAAATGTGAGGAGGGTAACCGACAATAGTGTCACACGTCCAACCTTCTCACGAGCAAAAAACACAGTCCACAGAAACAAAAACGCGCCTGCTTTATAGAGCCGAGGACCGACCATGATTTGCATGCGAATGACGAGACAATGAGATTTTGCGTTAACTGTTCGAGACCGCCCGGCATAAAACATGAGCGCCGCCATTTTGGTTCTTTTTATCGTTGAGTAATCGGAGTTTGCATGATGCACAGATTCGTGGGCGTTTCCGAGGTAGGCCATTTTTACAATTTTCCCCACACTCCCCCCCGATCTCATGATCACAAACAGGGCAAGGAAGTGGCAATCGTCGCCGTCGAGTCCCCCTCCGAAGGGGGACAGCACAAGCTTCATCCTCATGCGTGTTCTTGTCTGTGGTTTGAGTGTCGGTAAACACTGTGTCCACTGGGAGGCTGCTGTTATCAGAATCACTGCCCTGCAGGTCTAACTCCAAGCAGATCGAACGCTCACTACTCTCAGACTCGGAATCGCTTTCATCGCTCAGTAACGGTAGTAATTGCATCACCGGTCGCAAGTCTTTAATGTGATGAGGTACCCCATCAACTCTCACAGATTGTGGGCTAATCACCTCCGTAACACGTCCAGTGCCGTATTTTGTCGTACACTTGCTGCGTGGGTTTTTGACCCAAACAACGTCTCCTTTTTTCAATCTCCCTCCGGTCACTTCTAGTTCAGGCAGCAGGTTGGCTTCAATGCCTTTCCCTTGGACATGATACTTGTGCAGTGCATCAGCCGGTGCTGTGGACGGTGAAACGTTACCTTTCGGGGCGACATTATACCAGTAAACCACCTCCGATACTGTACAGCTCTTCCTGGCTGTGATGGTCTTGACGGTTCTGTGGTTTTGCACTACGATGCCGTTTCTACTCAGTGAGTAGGCACATGGAAACTGCAGATGCACATCCCAATTGTCCGCAAATTTTTTAAAGTCTTTACTGTTGAATGCAGTATTGTTGTCAAACACTCGATGCAGAGACCAGACTTTCATTAATGAAGATGTCATCAACGTATGCTGATGTGGCACTTTCAATTGTGCGGTCTTGCGATGTGATGGCATCTATAACGGATTTCATAATGAATGGCGCCACATTTAGCCCAAATCCTAGCCGGGTAAGACAGAAGCGTTGGCCTTTGAAAATAACAGAGATCCAGAAGCAACACATTGACTCCCTGCTGCTGCCACGCTCTCAGCTTCTGTGTGCACACTTCTGCATCGGCAGTAAAAGCATCCACAAAGTCGTTCAATTTGCGGTAATCGAGTACCAGACGTATCTCCTGTTTCTGCTCCTGCACGACTGCCATCAAGGGAATCAGATCCTTTGGGGGTCCCAGTCTTTCCTGGGGGTATGGAATCAACCAGCCATTCACAATCCACTGTTGAAGCTCTTTCTCGTATTTTACTCTGATGCTCTCGGGAACTTTGTACTCTGTGACCTTGTTGTGAAGCTGAACTGGTGGGTCTTTTTGGGCCCATTTCCACCTGGCGGTCCACACCCTCTCGTCGGAATTGAAAGAGAAATTGAAATCCGGCTCACTAATGCAAAGGGCTGCACACACCTTTCTTCCTTTACCCAGTTCCACATTTCCGGCTGGCATGATTATCATGCCTCCTAATGCTCGGATCGCATCGATCCCAAGCAGGAGGTCGTAACCGAGGGGCCCTTGATGTGCCACCAAAACGTCGACTATGGCATGATTCCCTCCGTCTGTGAGGATTGATACAGTCCTAACACCGCAACAGGCCCGGGACACTCTGTCAATCGTCCGAATCTTGATTTGTTGACTGCTCCATATTATGCATCGATCCGCACTGACGATCGATCGGAAACATATAGCAGCGTAGTCATGCTCGTGTCTGTCAGCTACTCCCGCCTCTTACGTCACTTTGGCTCCGGCATTCTCTAGAGAAATGGTTTGGTCCACCGCACTTGTAGCACTTTGGGCCCTCCCGCGGTGTCTTGGGCGTTCTCACGGCTGTCACAACCTGTTCCGTGTCTTTCTGGCCCTGGCTAGCAATTCGTCAATTCTCAATGTGTCCAATCTTGAAGACGCTCGCAGGAGCCGACTGATGTCGTCAGGGAGTCCTGCCAGGAAGGCACATCCCAGTATGCGGTCCGTTGCTCCGCCAAACGGCACCGCCAGCCTTCGCAAATCGGCCAGGTAGACATCCACCATCTTACCCAGCTCGAGCTGTCATCCGACGAACTGTTCCCAAGCGATGAAAGGGTCTATTCCAAAGGCCGTATATAGGGCACTCTTGATCTCCTCTGGGTCAGCATCGTCCCCGAGTTGTTGATATACAGCGTAGGCTCCCCTCGTGAGTCTCAGTGGGATGACCAGTGCAGGTTCTTTTATTTTGAACATCCTGCAAACATGTTCGGCCTTCTCAAACCATTTGACGACAGTCAGGCCCGTGGGGGAGCCGTCGAATTCTGGGATCAATTTTAAATCGAACTTGTCCATTGCTGAAATAGCTTGTGGTGGTAAAGCAACGACTCAGCTGATAGTAGCAGATAGGAAACGCGAGGAGGGTAACCGACAAAATAGTGTCACACGTCCAACCTTCTTATGAGCAAAAAACCTAGACCTCAGAAACAAAAACGTGCCTGCTTTATACAGCCGAGGACCAACCATGATTTGCATGCGAATGACAAGACAATGAGATTTCGCGTTAACTGTCCGAGACCGCCCGGCATAAAACATGGGCGCCGCCATTTAGGTTCTTTTTGTTATTGAATAATCGGAGTTTGCACGACGCAGAGATTCGCGGGTATTTCCGAGGTAGGCTATTTTCGCAATTTTCCCTACAGTTATTTTATGAAGCAAGTCATTGCAGCAGTAAATTGTTACTTCAATATTTTCCACTCTAAATTTTGACATCTTCCAGTCTCTTATCAATTCTGAAAAAGAATTTTTGTCATTCTATTCAGAAGACCACAGCCCCATGAAAATTTTTATCCTAATTCTGGGACCAAGTTCTCTCTAAAAAAATAGTCCATTTGAAATATAGGTTAGTAAAGATATCTTTTAATGAGTGACCAACAAAGATTTCTCTATGACTTGACAATCTAAGATAACTATAATTAACTTTTTCAGAACCCTCTCATCATAGAATTGTTCCAGGAAAAAAAACTTGAGAGAAAGATGTCAACCATGTCAGAAGAGTCCTATCTCAGTCAACCGAAAAAATCCAAGAAACACAAGCAGACTGTAGGATCTCAGGTTTGTGTGGTTTCATAAAATCTTTTGCCATTATTAAATGTGGTTCAAATTCAGAGTCTTTTGGAAAGTGCTTTCTTAATTTTATTGTTTTTTATTCTTAAGCAAGTCCCTATTAAATGCCTACTTCAATCCAAATCATAATTCAGATTTTTATAGCTACTAGAAAATGTGCTACTTGTTAGATATAAAAATCCTTTTAATGTCTCATATAATGATTATTGCAAAAAAACTAAAAAAAGATTATTAATTTTAACTTAGTTGATTGTCATTGTAGCTGAAAATAATCCTTAAATTTATCATGAATTCTTTTACACCTAAGATATTTAAATTAGTTAAATATTAGTTTGTCAAAGTTATCAGTTACATCAAGCTTACAATATTGGTTCCAACAGCTTTGTTGCCAAAAGTATATTAATATATAAAACCTACTGTTAAATCTATGATAATAATGTCTGCAAATAAATATCTTACACACACCTTTATATTAGTTTTTATATTTTGATGAAAATACATCTTATTATTCCTTGTAATTTTTTCCTAATTGCTTTCTTTTAGTTCAAAGAATCATTGAACAGTTTAATGAAGACTCTCTCGGATACTAACCCTCATTATGTACGCTGCATTAAACCCAATGATGACAAGAAACCATTCAGGTATTTATTTTCTTGTCCTCAACTTCTCTCTTTTTAGTGGTTAGTTTTCAGTGATTGGTGTTGATTTAAAAGAAACATTTACTTACATAAACTGTAAAACGACTCTTTTTTTTTTTTTTTTTTTTTTTTTTAAGTGGACCATGCTTGTCTACAGATATCTGATTGTATTCATTTTAGGCCTGAGCTAAAATGAATTGAGAAAGTAATTGGCATGTCTTTTTCTTCATTGCTCTTCTCATTAGCTAGGATGACTTTAGAAGAGATCCTTAATGAAAAGCAGTCATTTCTAGGTATTTCTAATTAGTTTCTTAATTCTACAGATACACAGATAGCTGATACTAATTATGTGTATAATAACCCAAACATATCAATTCCTGACTATTATCTTTCTACTAAACTGCATATTGTACATTGAAAATAGTAACAAAATTTACTAAAACAAATTTTAGGCTAAACAAAAAATATGAAATTTAATTAAAACATTTATTTTTACTTTAAAAAAAATTACCTGAAATATATAGTTTATGCACAAAACAAAAGAAAACTAAAGGAGAGTGGTAGTAGACAGAAAATAATGTCAACTGGCATTGAACAGAAATATCTATGCATATTATATTCAGATGGAGTGAAAAGGTGACTTTTGTTTTACTACCTCCTTACTGCCAGTATTTGCTATGTAATCATTTTTGTGAATAATTTTTAATGTATAATGAATTCTGCTTTCAATGTTGTGGATTATATAAACAGTGAGTTCCATCAGAGTTTTACCTTCTATGCATATTGGGTTAATAAATCAGTTTTATAAAGAGAAACAATTTTATCCTTGTTTCTAAGCTATTTTTTATGCACAAGAATAATCAGCTTAAAAAAAAGAAAAATGTCCTCTATGTTAGGCATTTATTTTTAAGTGGAAATAATTGTTTAGATTCCAATAGTTTAGCACAAGCACCAAAATTTGATTACTTGTTTGTTTTTTATTTGTCTTTTAAAGTTTGCTTCTTAAAATCCTAAGAATATTTAATTATTAATTGAGTTGTTTTTATTTCTTGCTTTCTTCAGATTCAACTGTAAACGAGTTGTGGAGCAGCTGAGGGCATGTGGTGTTCTCGAGACAATTCGTATTAGTGCTGCTGGATTCCCAGCAAGGTAATCAACAGCAATCCTTTCAAATGCAAGTCATGACCCAATCTATAACAGATTAGTCTTTCCTGTTTGCACACTTACAAAGTGAACAAAATATTACTTTGATTTTTCACTATTAAAGAGATCTTTAGCATCCCAGATTAGTTTGTCATAACCAAAATGACTGCAAGAAAATTTTAATCTTTCACTCTGTGTCTTTCTATAAAATTGAAATGATAAAGCAAAATTTTATTTTTTTTTTAAGGAAAAAGAAAATTTCTCAAAGAAAAAAATTGTCAAAGTTGTAAATAGTAAACTTATTTTTAAAAATTATTTTCCTAATCATTTTTACAATATTTATCTTTTTTGTTTTGTTTTTTTTTATTACAGTGCTGAGCTCAATTTGACATTACCAGATTTTATTATGCAATTCGGTGTCTTTCACAATAAAATCAGCATTCGGGATATAATTATATGAGCAATATACCATATGATTTTCAGCTCCTCTTTTATTTTTATTTGTATTTTTCCAGTAACTTATTTGGTGGTATATGATTTTAAGTAACTTGAGAGTTATTTATTTTACACAAACACACACACATGTGTATGCACGTGTTACTGATATTTTTCATTTCCAATATATGAAGATTGTCCTGTGTTATAAGGTGTAAACTCAGAAGAGAAACAAGATATTGTAAAGTTATTGAGTGATGGAAACATAGGGTAGGCAATTGAAAAAGTTGAATAGAGATCATAAATAATTAAAAAAACTGAAAACCTTGGCAAGATAAAGATTTGAAAATAAGGGTAATAATAAAGAAAAGTAGATTGATAAGCAGAAGATTATTTGAAAAATCTTGTGTTTAAAATGTAAAGTGAAAAGATGGAAGATATGAAGAACATTGACTGAAGAAATGAAAGTAACCGAATTATTAACTTTTAAGTGGCCATCACACAAAAAAAAAACATGTTGGCTGAAGAAACATGAAAATTGACTTGGTTCATTCATAGAAAAAGTCAACAGATATCACTTTTGGTTAGTATTTTAGTCATTGAAATTATAGGCTCTTACAAAATTGATTATTGGTGTGAAGAAGCTTTAAGCTAAAAAGTATTTTCATGCATGGTAATAATCTTTAGATTTGGCAAAGTGGATTATTGCCCACCTAGCCAAAATAATAGATTGGCTCCCAGACTGAATAGATTTTGATAAAAAAGAAATCTTGTAATTCATCAATAAATGATATTCAAATAAAAATCTTTGGGAAATTATAAAAACTGTTGGAAGTTATGTTCAAGTTGAAACAGTAAAAAACTAAGCAAAATCAATGTTTGAAAGGCTAATGAAGGTTATAGAATGTCTATCACCCCATATTAACATATACAATCATAAAATAGTTATTCATGATCATGAGATATTGTTTTAATAAGATGTTTGTTTTTGACTTATTTATAAAAAAAGTTATAATTTGTCTGCATTCTAAAACCTGATAACTCCAAAAAAACTTAATAATATTATAAACTGAAATATGTTGCTCATGTAAATATATCCTGTGAATTTTGCCAACATTGGTTGGTTAATAGTAATTGAGAAAACATTGACTATAAAATCTAATATTGCGTACATTCTACAAATGTTAGTAAGCAATATGTATTGAAAACATATTCTCCAAAATGTTTAATTTAAAAAAAAATATCACTTGTGTGCAAATAACCTTGAGAAAGGTATGAATCCATCTCATCCCTTTAAATATTGGATAAGATAGTAGGACTTGTATGTGGAAAAAAATCATTTTTATTCCAAAAAAATTGTTAATGCAATATTCACTAATAAAAAAAAAATAAATAAATAAAATCCCAAAAAATGTTTTGGCTTAAAATAACCCACAAAGGGTTGATAAGCTGTAAAAAAAAAAAAAAACAAATTAATCATTTGAAAAGAAACTCTGACAATTTATGATTAGAAACTAATTTCTATTTTCTCATATTCATGTTTTAAATGTATTTTTTTTCTTCAGGGAAACATATGAAAATATATTCAATATGTTTCAACAATTATTGGATGTGAAGGAAGTTGACAAATCGGATCCAAAGTCAAGTTGTGAGAGATTAATGCAGAAATATATTGAAGTAAGCATAGGTGACATATTTCTTCATTTTCTATTGTTCAGTGAATGGCATAATATTATGTTCTTCAATCAGAAAAAACATTGTGTAGAAATTAGATTATTTAAAATAAATTCAATTTAAACAATTTTCATATTATAAGGATGTCTCTGAGCTAATGTAATAAAAGAAAATAAGTTGGGAAGTATTAGATAAAAATAAGAAGTCCATGAGAAGAAATCATAGATACTGAAATTTATTCTGTGCTTTTTAATTCTTACAATAAACTATTGTAATGATGTACAATGGTGAACTGTAACTTTTGCATTAGGGCATCTCCTTAGCACACAGGAGTTTTAGCCATAAGAGACCATCTCTTCTCTGTAATATGTGGACAGAAATGTAATTGATTGTTATCAAATATACAGCTTCTGTATTTAATTCAAATTCCTCAAAATTAATTTTTCTGATCATTATTTGATAATTTTATAGGAACAAATATTAATTTTGTTCAGTGATGGAATAAAAATGATGAAATTTGCTGAACTCTGTATTCTGAATCTCTGTTGTTTTCTTATTTTCATTTATTCTTCACTAGGACCCTGATAAATACAGATTTGGTAAGACGAAAATCTTTTTCCGAGCAGGCCAGCTGGCATTGTTGGATAAACTGTTGAGTGACCGTCGTGTCAGGTGGTCAATTATGGTGCAGAAACAAGTCAGGACATTCCTGTGCAAGAGACGCTTCAACAAGATCAGACGTAGCATCTTCCTGTTGCAAGTCTACGGACGAGGCTATCTTGCACGTTTGTAAGTTGGCTACTTAAATTTTAATTACTTTTTCAATAAATTTAAAGAACTAGATAAGTTTTTTTTTTTTTGTGGATGTGGAGACAAGTAAAATATTTTTCTTGCCTTTAGAATTTCTATTAATTTTAATTTTTGAAAGATGAAATTAAGCTAAGGTCATTCTAAAAATATTTTTTTAATTTATTTAT